CCTTTTTTGTACATGGGAGTCTTGGGCTGGAAATTTTTTTTTTTTTAAATCCCTTTTTATTTGAAGGAGAAATCTATTATTGTGGCAAAAAAAGAGGGTTTTGTTTAAGCGGGAACTGCAAATAACGTGCTTTGCTCAGAGAGATGTGTTCGGGTAGTTAAAAAAATTGAATATTTTAACCTTTAAAAGATGAAACGAGGCTGAAAAGATCATTATTTTTAATTATTTATTACCATTATATGTCACCTATCTCCCCTATAAGGTGACAAGATAGTTCAGGGGTAGGCAACCTTGGCTCTTTGATGACTCGTGGACTTCAACTCCCAGAATTCTTAAGCCAGCATGGCTCAGCTTGGAAACCTCTCCCTTTCCCCTCAGCGTGGCTGGCTCAGGAATTCTGGGAGTTGAAGTCCACGAGTCATAAAAGAGCCAAGGTTGCCTACTCCCGGCCTAGGCTTCAACTCCCAGAATTCCCAAGCCAGTGTGGGGAACTAAGGCCCCCTTATGACTTGTGGACCAACTCCCAGAATTCCTGAGCCAGCCTGGCTCATCTTGGAAACCTCTCCCTTTCCCCTCAGCATGGCTGGCTGAGGAATTCTGGGAGTTGTAAGTCCATGAGTCATAAAAGAGCCAAGGTTGCCTACCCCTGGCCTAGGCCACTTTATGACTCGTGGACTTCAACTCCCAGAATTCCTGAGCCAGCATGGCTCAGCTTGGAAACCTCCCCCTTTCCCCTCAGCATGGCTTGCTCAGGAATTCTGGGAGTTGAAGTCCACAAGTCCCCAGGAGTCCCCAGGAGAACAGAAACAGCTGGTTGACACAAGGTTGTGTTTTAAGGGTGTCTAATACAGGTAGTCCTCGACTTACAGCTGTTTGTTTAGGGTCTGTTCAAAGTTACGGTGCTGAAAAAAGTGATGTATGACCATTTTTCCGCACTCACGACCGTTGCAGCCTCCCCATTGTGCAGGTCATCAAAATTCGGACGCTTGGTGATGGACATGCATTTATTGACGGTCGTCGTGTCTCGTCCCGTTTTACGACCTCCTGACCCGCAAAATCCGTGGGGGAAGCCCGATTCATTTAACAACGGCGTTACTAACTTAACGACTGCGGCAGCTCCCTTAGCAACTGTGGCAGAAAAGATCATAAGACGGGGCACAATTACACTTCACCCATATCTCGCTTAGCGACAGGACTCAATCGCGGTCGTAAGTCGAGGACTACCTGGGCACGGTTCTTCTCTGGTGGGACGTATCTCTCCCGCATCTTGGATAAAGGAGGGGGTATTTCATTTAGCTCCCCCCTGTTTCTTTCACTCCCTCCCTACCCCAAATATTGTGGGAAGCTGTTGTGGTTTTCCTGACTGAGCAGGGGGTTGGACTAGATGACCTCCAAGGTCCCTTCCAACTTTATTAATAAAGAAAGCTAACAACTGTGTGAAAAGCAGCCTCATTTTCTTGCCGGTTAAACAGAGCAGGCCTGCAGATTGCTCCTCCGACTGTCTGGTTAAATGTTAAATTAGATTATCTAATTAAAAAGACTCATTTGAAGAGAGCGGGTCATTGACCGGATTATCCAGCAGGAGGAGAGACAGATAAACTGAATCATTAGTTTTAAGCCATATATAGGAAATATTTGCATCTTTGCCTCTGAAAATTGGAAGGCCCATATCAGCTGTCAGATATAGCCCCATTGCAGGCCAGTTTAATAAATGATAATAACAGCAAGGACATTTATTTGCTCTGCTTTGAAAAGATCCACTCACAACCGAGGACTGAACAGGTAACAGTGGCTGAGTTTAACATTCCTTGTGACAGAAAAACAATCATTAAAGGAATTCCTTTATAATTGAAAGCCCCTGTGGGCCTTTTAATAACAACAATAACAATAATAACAACAATAATAATAAAGTTGGAAGGGACCTTTGAGGTCCTCTACTCCATCCCCCTGCTCAGGCAGGAAACCCTATGTTCCAAAACTGGGAGTGAGCAGGGGGTTGGACTAGAAGACCTCAAAGGTCCCTTCCAGCTCTGTTATTGTTGTTGTTGTTGTTATTACAGAAGGCACTAAGGACCCTCATCTCAAATTTTCTCCTCTATTGGTAGTCCTTGACGTACGACCACAATCAAGCCCAAAATATTTGTCGTTAAGTGAGACATTTCTTAAGTGAGTTTTGCCCTCCATTGGGCGACCTTTCTTGCCACCGTGGGTAAGTCCATCGCCGCAGTTGATAAGTTAGTAACCCGATTGTTAAGGGATCTGGCTTCCCAAACTGGTTTTGCTTATCCAAAGGGGATCACGTGACCCCGGGGGCACGGCAGCCGTCATAAGTATGAGTCAGTTGCTGAGCGTTTGAATTTTGATCACATGACCACAGCGGTGCTGCAGCGGTCGTAAGTGTGAAAAACGGCCACAAGTCCCTTTTTTCAGTGCCGTGGCAACTAAATAAGTTGTTGTTAAATTGGGGACTAGCTGTAATCATGTTCCATCAGTCAGGTGTGTCTCCTGGGTGTAGCGCAGTTCTGTCTTTTGTGTGTTCACTTTAAATTTGTAATCTCGCTGTCGCCATTTTCATCCAGGCCCTCATTTTTGTCTGTATTCCTGATTACCTTCCTTCCTTTAAATATCAATATCAGGGGTAGGCAACCTTGGCTCTTTTATGACTCGTGGACTTCAACTCCCAGAATTCCTGAGCCAGCATGGGGGAACTATGGCCCCTTCATGACTCGTGGACTTCAACTCCCAGAATTCCTGAGCCAGATGGCTCAGCTTGGAAACCTCCCTTTCCCCTCAGCATGGCTGGCTCTGGAATTCTGGGAGTTGAAGTCCACCAGTCATAAAAGAGCCAAGGTTGCCTACCTCTAGCCTATGCCTAGGCCGCTTTATGACTTGTGGACTTCAACTCCCAGAATTCCTGAGCCAGATGCTCAGCTTGGAAACCTCTCCCTTTCCCCTCAGCATGGCTGGCTCAGGAATTCTGGGAGTTGAAGTCCATGAGTCATAAAAGAGCCAAGGTTGCCTACTCCTGATCTAAATGAAATGAATTGCCATAAAGTTCCTGTTTTTAATGTAATAAGACCGCTTTTGTTCTCTACTTATAATCGTGGGGCTTTTGTTTTAGTGACTAGATTGTTGGGATTGAAAGCAATTTTGGCACCTGACGATAGAAATTGGGAAATCTTTTAGCTGCTTATGCAAGGATTGGGAAACAGCAGCCTGCAGGCCGTGATTTTGGCGAATAGATGCTACCAAATAAGTACATTTGCTTATACACGAATAAAGAGCTCTGGGTTTTCTTGGTGATTCACTTGGACAGCTATTAATTAATATGAATTAACACTATTAGAATAGAATAAAACTTTATTGTCACTTTGAATGTACACCCATCGGCATACGTTAAAATGAAATTTCATTGCATTCAGCTCTCAAAGGGTCACCACCTCTGATGTACACTACATCAATATGACAAAAATAAATAAATACAGAATTCTGCCTATACCCACATCACAATAATATTAAACAGTAATCCTGTTTATTAATACGAATTCATATTATCTAACCTAAGAAAAACGTTCATTTGCAAAGGAAGCCTGCATCGGAGAACAAGATACATTGCTTAAAGTACGAACACATTTGCACGATTTTAAAGTTGGTGCTCTCTCAGCTTGGTGCTTTTCTTGTAGATGTTTCATCACTCAAATAAATAGACTAGACTAGGATAGGATAGGATAGGATAGGATAGGATAGGATAGGATAGGATAGGATAGGATAGGAATACAAAATATGGAATGGAATAAGAATAGAATAGAATGGATGGGATGGGATGGAATAGGATAGGAATACAAAATATGGAATAGAATAGAATAGAATAGAATAATAATAGATAGGATATGATAGGAATACAAAATATGGAATAGAATAGAATAGAATAGAACAGAATAGAATAGAATGATTGTAGAATAGGAATAGAATAGAATAGAATAGAATAGAATAGAATAGAATAGAATAGAATAGAATAGAATAGAATAGAATAATAATAGATAGGATATGATAGGAATACAAAATATGGAATGGAATGGAATGGAATGGAATAGAATAGAATAGAATAGAATAGAATAGAATAGAATAGAATAGAATAGAATAGAATAGAATAGAATAGAATAGAATAGAATAGAGATCCTGGAGGTCTTCTAGTCCAGCCCCCTGCTCAAGCAGGAGAACTTACACCAATATATATATTAGTCACAAGTCCTTAATACTTCAACAGCAACAGATTGTCTGGGTTCCAATATTTAATTTACTAATCCATATTAAGTTCCTTTCTCTCTACCTCTTTTTTCTAGCTATTGATAAAAAGTATCCCATGTTCTAAAGTATACTGCGTCTTCTTTCTTTTTCATTTTCAATGACACTCTGTCCATTTTTGCACAATCTAGAATTTTTTTTGATTTTCCTCTGATGGTAATTCTGCCTTTTTCCAATGTTGAGCGAATACAATTCTCGTTGCAGTTAAATACATGTAATATTAAATATACACATTCTTTCTCATAGTTTCCTACAATTATACCTCACAAAAATAATTCTGGCTTAAAATCTTATTTGTTTTGTAATCATTTTTCTCTAACCATACATGTATTCTTGACCAAAAAATGTGCTTTTCCAAGAGGAAAAATCCCAGCTCAGCTAAAGGAATTATCAAGAAAATTGAAATAAAATATAACCCTAGTTGCAATCCTGTGGGTTTTTTCACTTTGCGACCATTTCGCTTAGTGACTGACATGCAATCGCGAAACAAAAGCTTCCCGATGACTTACAGACGTTGCAAAGATTCCAGCAAACCAGTTCTCCTGTTCCTTTTATATTAAAAAGATGATTTTATACACCTTTCCTTCAAGATTCCGTGCTCAGTTTTTAATAGTTTGATGCCTCCTATGTAGTTTAAGCCTTGGGAATTATTGTTTTCTGGATCGCTAACAGAGAGTTTATTTTTTATTTTTCAGGCCAATATGGGTATATGCTTCCTTGTTATCCTATTCAGTAGCTGCTTAACATACCTAGGTGTTGCCAATATAACATCAGGTGAGTTACCTGTAGTTTATTTTGCAGGGGGGGGGGGAGGGAGATGGGCGAAATGGAGACATGACAAGACCTTTTAGGCGTATGTCTGTTCTTGGCTGTCAGTCTGCTTTTATTTTATAACGGTATCTCTCCATTTCTAAGTACATGATAAGGCTGTGGTGGGATGTTCTGTAAATCTAGCCATTTCAGGATTTACACCTGCGTAAGAGCCGTGGTGGCGCAGTGGTTAGAATGCAGTATTGCAGGCAAAAACTCTGCCAACAGCCAGTAGTCCGATCCTGATGGGGCTCAAGGTTGACTCAGCCTTTCTATCCTTCCGTGGGTCAGTAAAATGAGGACCTAGATCGTTGGGGGCAATAGGTTGACTGTGTAAATTGCTTAGAGACGGCTGTAAAGCACTGTGAAGTGGTATATAAGTCTACGTGCTATTGCTGTTCTATTCTGTTCTATTATATTCCATTCCATTCCATATTTTCTGTTCTGTTCTATTCTATTCTGTTCTATTCTATTCTATTCTATTCTATTCTATTCTATTCTATTCTATTCTATTCTATTCTATTCTATTCTATTCTATTCTATTGCATTCTGTATTCCAGTGATGGTGAATCTTTTTGAGACCGAGTGCCCAAACTGCAACCCAAAACCCACTTATTTATTGCAAAGTTCCAGGGCTGCATCAGCATTGTGGTGCCCTCGGGGGGGGGGGAGGGTGAGGAGAGCATGGCCCTCTGGCTGGGTGTGGCTGCAGTGGTCATGGCAGATTGGGTGAGCATGGCTGGGGCCAGTCCCTTGCCATCTCCGGGGCATCCCCGAGGGGCCAACGCTGCTTGCTCGCTCACTTCCTGCCCTGTTGCTTCCAAACGCCACCTGCTCGCTACTCTGGTGAACTCTGCTGGGGCAACAGCATGTGTGCCCACAGAGAGGACTCTGAGTGTCGCCTCTGGCATGCTTGCCATAGGTTCGCCACCACTGTTCTGTTCTGTTTTATTCTATTCTGCATTCTATTCTGTTCTATTCTGCACTCTAGTCTAGTCTATTCTACTCTGCATTCTAGTCTAGTCTGTTTTGCATTCTGTTCTAGTCTAGTCTAATATATTTTACTCTATTCTATTCTATTCTATTCTATTCTATTCTATTCTATTCTATTCTATTCTATTCCATTCCATTCCATTCCATTCCATTCCATTCCATTCCATTATTCTATTCTATTCTATTCTATTTCATATTTTATTCTATTCCATTTCGTTCTATTCTATTCTATTCTATTCTGTTCTGTTCTGTTCTATTCTATTCTATTCTATTCCATATATTCCATTCCATTCCATTCCATTCCATTCCATTATTCTATTCTATTCTATTCTATTCTATTCTATTCTATTCTATTCTATTCTATTCTATTCTATTCTATTCTATTCTATTCCATTCCATTATTCTATTCTATTCTATTCTATTCTATTCTATTTCATATTTTATTCTATTCCATTCTATTCTATTCCATATATTCCATTCCATTATTCCATTCTATTCTATTCTATTCTATTCTATTCTATTCTATTCTATTCTATCCTATTCTATTCTATTCTATTCTATTCCATTCCATATATTCTATTCCATTCCATTCCATTATTCTGTTCTGTTCTATTCTATTCTATTCTATTCTATTCTATTCTATTCTATTCTATTCTATTCTATTCTATTCCATATATTCTATTCTATTCTATTCAATAAAATAAAATAAAATAAAATTTGCAAGTTGCATGAGGGAGTGGGATACTCTTTGGAAAAGCAGCGTATCTTGAAAGTGTCCTTTTTATTCTTTTCTTCCAGTACATCCGTCGACCGAGAGTCCCTTGCCCACCACCAGTTTAGTGAAAACTGCCAGCACGCAGTCCAGTAGTGCAAAACCCACCAGTTCCATGAAGAGGCCCACCATGTCACCAGGCAGGTCTCCGACCGTGGCACAGAGCCACCCGCCTCCGAACGTGCCAGAAGCCACAACCACCGCCACCGTCACTGTGCCCAGCATGAGAGCGGCAACGACGTCACACAAGACTCTGCCACCGACATCGGGGCCCACCACCGTCCCACCTAATGTCACAGAACTTCTTCCCAATGTCAGCACGACAGATAAAACCTTGATGACGGTGGAGGACAACTTCACAAGTGCACTAGTGACTTCACAAGCCTTTAACACCGCAAGTAGGGAATCCCTTATTTATGTATTAAATTCGATAGATAGATAGATAGATAGATAGATAGATAGATAGATAGATGGATGGATGGATGGATGGATGGATGGATGGATGGATGGATGGATGGATGGATGGATGGATGGATGGATGGATGGATGGATGGATAGATGGACGGACAGATGGACAAACGGATAGATTAGATGGATGGATGGATGGATGGATGGATGGATGGATGGATGGATGGATGGATGGATGGGATGATGGATGGGAAGATAAATAGGTGGGTAGGTAGGTAAGTAGAGATAGATAGATGATAGATAGACAGACAGGCAGGCAGACGGACAGACGGACGGACGGATGTTACTCCTGCCTTTATTATTCTACAAGTAACTCAAGGTGGCGATCATGCATAATACTCTTTCCTCCTCCTATTTTTTCCACAACAACCCACTGAGGTGGGCTGGGCTGACAGCAAGTGACTGACCCAAAGTTGCCCAATTGTTCTTTCTCACGCTTAAGGCTGGGCTAGCCCACACGATTTCCTGGTGATTGGCTCAACCTCAATCAGCCAGCTTTCATGCCTAAGGAGGGACTGGAACTCACCACCTCCTGGTGATTGGCCCAGAGTCACCCAGCTGGCTTTCATGGCTAAGGAGGGACTAGAAATCACTGTCTCCTGGTGATTGGCCCAAAATCACCAAGCTAGCTTTCATGCCTAAGGCGGTACTAGAACTCCCCATCTCTTTGTGATTGGCTCAAAATCACCTAGCCGGCTTTCATGCCTAAGGCAGAACTAGAACTCAGAGCCACAGTGTTAAAATCCTGGACAGAAGTGCAACATTCATCCCTGAAAGAAAGTAAATGCGTAAACCAGGGAGAATTTGAAGAGAGTTACAGAATTTCTTCACAAAGAAAAGAAAGAAAAGAAAAATTCTAGGGAAGAAGGTGGAGACAATTACAGTAAGGACGTACGTAGACTTTTATTTAAAAAAAAATAGCAAATTAATAGAGAGCCATACAAGTCTTGAGAAATGATGTTGAATTCTGGAGATCAATTACCAATGCTCTTATTTACGTGCTTTCCATTTACAGCTGAGATTACAGGACATACTGGTAAGTGCATTTTGCTGTATTTTATTTTTTAAAAAATTCTCTTACTATTTAATCAAGAGATTCTCGTTCTCGGAAACGACGTCTCTTCTAAAGCTGGTATTTAACTTTATGATCTTGGGGACATTTCGATAGCCACAAGCAAGGCCAGGGCAAAGTGCCAGGAATGTGTACAGAAGGAGAAAAAGAAAAAAAGAAGTTTCATCTATATGAAGGAACTTATGTAATCATAATCTACCCAGGGTCACGTGATCAAAATTCAGGCACTTGGCAACTGACTCATATTTGCGATGGTCACAGCCTTCCAGGGCACAGGATCCTCTTTTGTGACTGTCTGACAAGCAAAAGCTGGCAGGAATAGCCAACCCTCCAGAAGACAGGCTTAGGATACAGGAGGATCTGGACAGACTCGAACACTGGGCGCTATCTAACAAAATGAAATTCAATGGTGAAAAAAGCAAGGTTCTACATTTAGGCAAGAAAAACCAAATGCACAGGTATAGTATAGGGGGTACCTTGCTCAATAGTAGTAACTGTGAGAGGGACCTTGGAGTCCTAGTGGACAATCATCTAAATATGAGTCAGCTGTGTGCTGCAGCTGCCAAAAAGGCCAACACAGGGCTAGGCTGCATTGACGGACAAATAGAATCAAGATCACGTGGAGTGTTAATACCACTTTACAAGGCCTTGGTAAGGCCACACTTGGAATATGGCATCCAGTTTTGGTCACCACGATGTAAAAAAGATGTTGAGACTCTAGAACAATGGTTCTCAACCTGTGGGTCGGGACCCCATTTGGGGGTCGAACGACCATTTCACGGGGGTCGCCAAACAACGCAGTCCGCCATTTTTTCCCCTTTTCCTTAGCTGTGCTACTCCCTTTTATTCTATTGGCTTTTGAAAGCCAATAGAAGGGACTCTCTTGAATAGAGTCTAATTCTATTGGCTTTCAAAAGCCAATAGGAATTGTCCAGGCTGTCTCTGCCCTGCTGAGCCCGCCAAAAGTCCCATTCTGCAAACGGTGCTGCACCAGTTGAGTAGTCCTCGACTTATGACTGGTTGAGTAGTCCTCGACTTACAACCGGTTGGGGGTCGCGGCATTAAAAAGGTTGAGAACCACTGCTCTAGAAAGAGTACAGAGAAGAGCAACAAAGATGATTAGGGGGCTGCTGAGCCCTGAAGAAGCACCAATCAGCTGAAAAGCAGCACTGATCCTGGCGCTTCTGCTGAGCCCTGAAGAAGCATCGATCAGCTGGAATGTTGCAGCTTCTCCAGGGTCTTGTGATTTACATTCAGATGCTTGGCCACTGATTCATATTTATGACGGTCCCAGTGTCCCAGGGTCATGTGAAGGGACCAAAACCTGCTGCAACCACCCAGCAGACGCGGGGAATAAAAACCAAACACCCCCCCCCCGCCCCACCCCCACTACCAATCCTCAACAGAAATGCTCACAACAATGAAAACCTCGGACCGGAGGAAGAGCGCCACTGGGTGGGCAGGCAGGTGTCTTGCTTGGCTGTGGCTTTTTTCAGTGCCATTGTAACTTCGAACAATCACTAAGCGAACTGTTGTAAGTTGAGGACTACCTGTACTTTATCACTTTTTTCCTTTTTTTTTGGGTCATCAAATTTTTGACACCTTGCTAGGCGACTGGCGGTACTCGGATGTTGCCCTATCCTAAAAGTGGTACAATGGGTGAAAAGATTGAAAAGCCCTGTTGTAGAGAGCATAAGCTTTCAATCAACCTCTAGGCAGGTAGTCCTCGGATTATGACCACAATCGAGCCCAAAACGTATCTTGCTAAGCGAGACAGCTCTTAAGTGATTTTTCCCCATTTTTTACAACCTTCCTTGCCACATTTGTTCCGCGAATCACTGCAGGTGTTTGTCACACGGTTGTTAAGTGAATCTGGCTCCCCCCATTGGCTTTGCTTGTCAGCAGGTCGCCAAAGGGGGAAATCACATAACCTCGGGCGACCGTCGTAAATACGAGTCAGTTGTCAAGGGTCTGAATTTCGATCCCATGCTCTTGGGGGATGCTGCAGCGGCCGTAAATGTGAAAGATGGTCCTAAGTCGCCTTTTTTCCGGTGCCGTTGTAACTTCAAATGGTCACTAAACAAATTGTTGTAAGTGGAGGACTACCTGTATTCATTTGAACCGCTCAGATTTCCTGATTTTTCCCGTTTTGACCCCAAGTCTGGATTAAAGCAAATGTGGAGATTTTATTCTTCGTTGCCAGTGGCGATGAGGAACACGAACGGGAGCCCTTTCTCCACATCTGTCTTTGGACTTCCAGATGTTCCGGTGATGTTAAAAGGGGATTTTGGGAAAAGTGCAGGGAAACCCAGCAATGAGTGGCTATAAATTACCGTCTCACCAGAAGCAGCGTTCAGCTCTACCAATAAGAGGAAACCTGAATAGCAAATAGCTGGGTTTTTTTACTGGGTTTTCAGTCCAGTGTTTCTGTGGAATTCTGGGAGTTGAAGTCCACATGCCTTAAAATGGTCAAGGTTGAGAAACACTGGCTCTAGTTAATCCTGGTTTGATTAGCCACCATAGGAGGCGGGGAGCTATTCTGAACGTTCTTTTTTCTTTTTGCGTTTATTCAGGTGACTCAGATCCTCGACGAGGTAAGCTGATCCTCTTCACGTTGGCAAATCTGTTGTAAATCTTTTGGTTAAATATCTTTTTTTTTTTAATCATTACTTTGGGATGTTATATTTTATTAAGCCAGGAAAATTTACCAACTGTTTGGCCAAGCTTTTCTGAGATTCTCTTTTCCGAGATTAGAAGAGTGGAAAGGCATTCTTCCGGTGTCTTAGTATGATGTGCTTTTTTAAAATTTCAATTTATAGGGCCACCCAGCTCAGGTTTATGAGGTCTGGGTAGCTACAAGTAACAGTGGGGGAAATAGAAGGTGGCTTAGCAGTTTGTTGATGCCAAAGTTTGTTCCCGTCCTCAGCTTGCAATCATTCATTTAGCGACCGTTCAAAATTAGAACAGCATAGACTTTGTTTGTGGGAAGCCGACTCTCTCTTCTTCTTTTCCTTTCCTTTCCTTTCCGCTTCCCCTTCTGCTCCCTTCCCTTTCCCTCCCTTTCCTCTCCCTCCCTCTTCGTCTTTATCTCCCTTTTATTTGCTTCCCTTCCCTTCCTTTTTCTTTCCTTTGCTTCCCTTCCCTTTTGTTTCCTTCGCTTTCTTTTCCCTTCCCTTTCCTTTCCTTTGCTTTCCTTCTCTTTACTTCCCTCCCTTCCCCCCCTTTGCTTCCCTTCCTTTTCCTTTCCTTTCCCTTTCCCTCCCTTTCCTTTCCTCTCCCTCCCTCTTCCTGTTTATCTCCCTTTCATTCCCTTCCCTTCTCTTTGCTTCCCTTCCCTTTCCTTCGTTTCTTTTCCCTTTGCTTCCGTTCCCTTCCTTTTTCTTTCCTTTGCTTCCATTCCCTTCCCTTCTCTTCCCTTTTGTTTCCTTCCCTTTCCTTTCCCTTCCCTTTTCTTTACTTTGCTTCCCTTCCCTTTTCCCCCCTTCGTTTCCCTTCCCTTTCCTTCTCTTCCCTTTTATTGTCTTTTTTTTTCTCCTTTCTCTTCTTTCTTGCTGTTAACCGCTGTTAACCTGTTAACCACAGGCAGGAAGCCGGAAGCAGGGTTTTGCCAGCTGATTTTTATTTTGTGTTCTCTGGTTGCTTTCTGCTTGCTGCCCTGTCCTTCCCCTCCCCTCCCCTCCCCTCTCACCGCCGGGGATGTCACAGGGCAAGGGCCAAAGCCCTCAGCTTTCCAAGCCAGCCAGCAGTTCCTTGGCAAACCTCTTGCACGGTTTCAACCGGAGCCCTTGGCAGTGCTGCAGGCTTGCAAAAAGTACCATTGGTGCTTGCTTTTTTTTTTTCTTTTTTTCCTCTCCCCCTTTTCTTTCTGTTTTGGAGCAGAGGGAGGGGTGTCTTTCTGCACAAACGCAAAACCAAAACCACACAAAACACACACTTAGGAAAGCATGGCCTCAGCTGCTCCGAGAGCGTGCTCGGAACATTTTTTTTATTATTATTATTGTAAGAATAAAATTGCCCTTGAATCGAACTTGGAAAAAGTTCCTCAAACGTCACAGGAGAGAAATCTGGAAACAAAAGTCTGCCTTTCAGGGCCGATGTGTACGGGCAGCCCTCGACGTAACAAACACAACATTTTTTTTACGTCGCTAAGGGAGACATTCGCTCAGCCGGTTTGGCCCCCCGATTTACGATTTTTCCGTGCCGCGGTTCTTAAGCGAATCGCTGCCGTTGCTAAATGCGTAACACCGCCGTTAAGCGAATCCAGCTCCCCCCCCCAGTGACTTTGCTGGTCAGAAGATCGCAAAAAGGGGATTGCGTGAGGCCCTTCCCGGGACGCCGCGATCCCCGTCATAAATGTGAGGCAGGCCTCTGAAGGTAAATCACGTGACCCCCGGGGGTGCTGCAACGGTCGTAAGTGTGAAAAACGGCCATACATTACTTTTGATGGGGGCTGCTGTAACTTCCAGCGGTCGCTAAATGGACTGTTCTCGACTTACGGCCGCAATTGATCCCCAAAATTTCCGCCGCTAAGCGAGATGGCTGTTAATGGGAGTGTTGCTTCATTTTATGACCCGTCTCGCCAGTCGTTAAGTCAGGAAACGGAGGCCTCCCCTGTTGATTTTGCTTGTCGCAAGGTCGCAAAAGAGGGCTCACCTGATCCCAGGACACTACAGTTGCCACAAATATCGGTCAGTTGCCGGGTGCCTGAATTTTGATCGTGTGACCACGGGGACCCGGCAACGGTTGTGTCAACAACAGTCAGGAATCACCTTTTTCAGTGCCATTGTAACTGAACGGTCACTAAACAAAATCGTTGTAAATTGGGGACTGCCTGGATCAAAAGCTGCTTCCGTTGCTATATTTATTTCTTTATCTGTAACCTACCTTGATTTTTTTTTACAAATAATTCTAAGAGGCAAACATATCAACGCACCTTCCTCCTCCTATTTCCCCCAAAACAACGACCCTGTGAGGTAGGTTGGGCTAAAGGGAGAGGGAGTGGCCCAAAGTCACCCAGCTGGCTTTCATGCCTAAGGCAGGACTAGAACTCACCGTCTCCTGGTGATTGGCCCAAAGTCACCCAGCTGGCTTTCTTGCCTAAGGCAGAACTAGAACTCACTGTCTCCTGGTGATTGGCCCAGAGTCACCCAACTGGCTTTCATGCCTAAGGCAGGACTAGAACTCACTGTCTCCTGGTGATTGACCCAGAGTCACCCAGCTGGCCTTCATGCCTAAGGCAGGACTAGAACTCACTGTCTCCTGGTGATTGACCCAGAGTCACCCAGTTGTCTTTCATGCCTAAGGCAGAACTAGAACTCACTGTCTCTTGGTGATTGACCCAGAGTTACCCAGCTGGCCTTCATGCCTAAGGCAGGACTAGAACTCACTGTCTCCTGGTGAGTCACCCAGCTGGCTTTCATGCCTAAGGCAGGACTAGAACTCACTGTCTCTTGGTGATTGACCCAGAGTCACCCAGCTGGCCTTCATGCCTAAGGCAGGACTAGAACTCACCTTCTCCTAGTGATTGACTCAAAAGTAATCCTGCCAGCTTTCATGGCTAAGGCAGGACTAGAACTCACCGTCTCCTGGCGATTGATCCAAAATCACCCAGTCCGCTTTCATGCCTAAAGTGGGACTTGGAATTCATGGTCCTCCACTTTATACAAGTGTATAAATCCAGCTGCTTTAACCACTAGACCAAACGTGCTCTCAGTTGCTATGAAACCCATCCTGCAGAGTGTTTTGGCTGTCAGAAGGTCTTTAGGGGTCTTCGTTTCCATCCCTTCAAAGCTCTGCTCGCCTCCCAACTTACCTTTTGTCCCTGGATGCTTTGAAAGTCTTCTTGTTGCCATGTGGCTAAGCCGAAAAACCCACCGCCTTAAAAATCGCTCTGTTTTCTCTCTGTTCTCTTCCAGATGAAACACCCATCATCGCCGTCATGGTGGCCCTGTCCTCCTTGCTCGTCATTGTATTTATTATTATTGTTCTGTACATGTTGAGGTGAGTCAGCTTCTCCTCTTCACCTTTATCTTTGCATTGCATTCGCTTCCATTCGTCCAAAATGGTGTATAGGGTTTCCTGCCTGAGCAGGAGGTTGGACTAGATGACCTCCAAGGTCCCTTCCAACTTTATTACTATTATTATTATTATTATCATGGATCATCGCACAGTCAGCCAGATGTTCAGACTGGATTTGGCATTTTGTCTACCTATCGAGTCCTTACCCAGGACCTGGGATAGGCAGATGTGGATGTTTGATGGTATTACAGGTATCGTCGCAGGATGGAAGCAGTTCCTAGTAAGGCCGCCTTTTGCAATTGACTAATAGCGAATTTGTCAATGCCAATGGTGTTCAAGCAGTGCTCCAGTTGTTTTGGGATTGCACCCAATGAGCCTATTATTGCTTGCTTTTGCCACAGTCTTTCTATTTCTATTTGTAGGTCTTTGTATTTTGTTATCTTCTCTAGTTCTTTCTCGTCTATTCTGCCGTCTCCAGGCACTGCGACGTCCACTATCCAGACTTTTTTGTCTTTCTTATCGACAATTGTTAAGTCTGGGGTGTTATGTTGCAGGTGCTTGTCTATTTGAATTCTATTATTATTATTATTATTATTATTATTATTATTATTATTATTATTATTATTATTATTTTTATTCTCGTAAGGTCGCAAGAGATGATTGAAAAATACACAAGAACCAATTTAAAGTTAGCTTCTGGCTTGTTGTTAATTGCGAAATCGTGTCTGACCCATCGCGACCCCATGGACAACGTTCCTCCAGGCCTTCCTGTCCTCTACCATCTTCTGGAGTCCATTGAAGCTCACGCCTCCTGCTTCAGTGACTGCATCCAGCCACCTCCTTCTCTGTCATCCCCTTCTTCTCTTGCCCTCCATCTTTCCCAGCATCAGGCTCTTCTCCAGTGAGTCCTTCCTTCTCATTAGATGGTCAAAGTACTTGAGTTTCAACTTCAGGATCTGACCTTCTAAAGAGCAGTCGGGGTTGATCTCCTCCAGGACTGACCAGTTGGATCGCCTTGCAGTCCAGGGGACTCGCAGGAGTCTCCTCCAGCACCAGAGTTCAAAGGCCTCCATACTTTGGCGCTCAGCCTTTCTTACGGTCCAACTTTCACAGCCATACATTGCAACTGGCTACCCGGTATATTTATTTACTTATTTCTTACGGGTATGTCTAGTTGAATGAAAAGAAGGACTGGGGGACGGATGGACATGATAGCAGTCTTCCAATATTTGAGGGGCTGCCACAAAGAAGGGGGGGTCCATCTATCCTCCAAAGTAGAGGTCCCCAACCTTTTGGGCACCAGGGACCCGTTCTGTGGAGCGAGGCTTTCCCGCGGACTGAGACTGCGTAGTTTTGTCTGCTGCCTGCATTTCACAGATGGGGCTTTGCTTGTTTGCGTGGACCGGTTGCTCGCATGCTGCAGCCCGGAACTGATCCACAGACCAGGGGTTGGGGACCTCTGGACTAGATGTAGAACAGAGATCCCCAACCTTTTGGGCACCAGGGACCAGTTCCGTGGAGAGAGGTTTTTCCGCGGACCAAGACTGCGTGGTTTTGTGTGCTGCCTGCATCCCACGGATGGGGCTTCGCTTGTTTGTACGGACCAGTTGCTGGCATGCCACGGCCCAGTACCGATCCACAAACCAGGGATTGGGGACCCCTGCTCCAAAGCACCAGAAGGCAGGAGAGGAAGCCACGACTTCAACCTCCCTCTCTCTCTCTCTCTCTCTCTCTCTCTCTCTCTCTCTCCTCTCTATCCATTATCTTTCTATCACTCTACCCATTATCTATGTATTTATCTTTCTATCTATCTATCTATCTATCTATCTCTTCTATCTCTCTTCCCATTTTCTGTCTCTCTCCTCTCTCTATACATTATCTCTCTTCTATCACTCTACCCATTATCTATCTATCTATCTATCTATCTATCTATCTATCTAATCTTATCTCTCTCTCTCTCTCTCTCTCTCTCTCCCCCCCCCCCCACGTTTTTCAGATCCAAAAATAATTTTGAAGTCATCGGGGACCCAAAAGGTCCCTGGCTATCTCTAGGGGCAAAGTAACGGCGCATTAAAAGAGGTGTGTGTGGATGGGGGGGGGGGAGGAAGAAGACGAATAGAATAACTCGCAAGTTGCACCAGCATCCAGGAATTAAAAACGTTCCCACTCGAACCAGGAAACGATCAAGTCCCGGCTTGGGCGAAGCACGTTACGGATGATTCGTGCTGTCATCTGAAAGTTACCCACGCACCAAAACCTGGATTTAAACAGCGTCTGCCGAACAAAACACCCAGGGACAGGAAGGGTGGGGACCTATTTTTGTAAAAATCGGTACGGGCAGGTTTGATGTGAGGCCTCCTTTGTTTTAAAAACGAAACCTACCACACAGAGAGGGACCGTTTCCTCCACGTGCGGTTACATGTGACCGCAGCCGCCACCTTCTCTTGCAAAGGGCTGCTGCTGCACTTTAACGCAAAAAAAAAAAAATGTGTCCCCTTGCAACTTTTGCAAAAAAGAAAAAAAAAACCTACGACTTTGCGCCCAAAATTTCTGTTGTTCAGTGAGACATTGGTGAAGTCAATTTTCCCCCCATTTTCTTTCCACCGTCGTTAAATGAATCACTTCGGTTGATAGGCTAGTAAACCGGTGGTTACGGGAAACGGGCTCCCCCCCCATTGAGGTGGCTTGTCGAAACGTCGCAAAAGGGGAGCACGTGACCCCCCCCGGGACACTGCCCCGTCGTATATATGAACCAGTCGCCATAATGCATCCGAATTTTGATCGCATAAACTCCGAGGTGCTGCAAAGGTCGTAACAAGGAAAAACAGGTCATAAGTTAACATTTTTCCGTGCCGTTGCAATTTTGATCAGTCACTAAAGCAGTGGTTCTCAACCTGTAGGTTGGGACCCCATTTGGGGTCGAACGACCATTTCATGGGGGTCGCCAAACAACGCAGTCCGCCATTTTTTTTCCCCTTTTCCTTAGCTGTGCTACTCCCTTTTCTTCTATTGGCTTTTGAAAGCCAATAGAATAGACTCTCTTGAATAGAGTCTAATTCTATTGGCTTTCCAAAGCCAATAGGAATTGTCCAGGCTGTCTCTGCCCTGCTTAGCCTGTCAAAAGTCCCATTCTGCAAATGGTGCTGCACCAGTTGAGTAGTCCTCGACTTACGACCGGTTGAGTAGTCCTCGACTTACGGAGGGTTGGGGGTCGCGGCATTAAAAAGATTGAGAACCACTGCACTAAACCAAGTGTTGTAAGTCAAGCTGTATTGAAGGACTGTAATTTTTGTTGATCTATTGCAGGGGTGTCAAACTCAATTTCATTGGGGGCCGCATCAGCATTGCAGTTGCCCTCGGGGGGGGTGGCCAGGGTGGGTGCGGCCTACTGGGTGGGTGTGGATGGAATGGGTGTGGCCTACTGGATGGGCGTGGCCAGCTTTATATCGTTCGCGTCAAGGGTGCCTGTGGGGGCCTGGGCAGGAGTGGGACAGATCTGAGGGTCTCTGGAAGAAGGGGTGGGGACCGGGGTAGAGCCCACCAAGCCGGATATGTGAAGCAGGCGAGGGCCATTTGCTGGCCACTTCCAGGCGATGGTGCATTTCTTCATTCCTCACAAAGGGTGACCCCTCCCCAGCATGCACCCAGAGGACGGGGCCAACACGGCAGGGGCTGGTTCTTTGCTGTTTCCAGACGGCCTTGTGGAGCTAAGACTGAATGCGTTTCAGCATAGATGGCCATCACAAAATTGTGCATTGGCTCCCGGCCGTTCCCTCACTGTTTCCAGGATGGCTTTGCGGGCCACATGTTGCCTGCTGGTTTTTAGAATATTGGATGGACCTGGAAATGGTGCCATTTCAACAGTTGCGGAAATTCATGTGGTCGTGAATATTTAAGTGAGAATATGCTAATTCTTGCATTTTGATAATACCGCAAGGTATTATGCAAGGTCACGCTTCCCTGACAATCTGTTCCTTTGAAGATCGGCTTCGGAGGAAATTGTTGAGTCTGAGTCTTAAATAGCCAGAAAGTTAACCTGTTTTCGTTCATATAATTTTAATTTTTTCTCTGTCCCTTTGCCACATATTCTCTTGATATAAGTTTGTTCTTAGGCCGAGCTTCGCCTGGTATTGCTGGCATGTACAGCAGTGGCCAAAATTGTAGAAACCTTTTGGGGAATGTGTATTTTTGAGGTTTGGTGGCTAGTAACACCACTTTTTCTTTTGGAGTAGTACTATAAAATTATATATCGATGGAAAGATAATTTAATCAAGGACGTCATGCAACATAGTTTGTTCAATTATCTGTATTGTATTCTATGAAAGGTTATAGCCAAATAGCCAGAAAAAGGAAGCACACCTTGCTTAGATGGATGTCAGGTAGCTTTCCTTCATCCGATTGTAGCCAATGAGCGTGAGTGTTTAGAGAGCCAATCAGGTGTCATCTTGTTTTGCCAATGAGCCAATCAGATCACAGTTGGATCCAGTGACTGATGTCCTGTATTAAAGCTGCGAGGAGGACATTTGTCAGTGTGTTGTGTGATCGCTATCAAGTTGGTTGGGGTTTTTTGTGTTCTTTCATTTCGTGAGCTTGCAAAACGTGATAAAATTAAAGTGATGGTGCAAAGAGTTGACTGGTCGCCCAGAAAGCGATGTAAAATAGTATTATTAAGTGAATAAGGCTACAATTATAAAGAAATGAGAAGAAAAATGGGTGGAAACTTAACCAAAGGGGGTATTTCTCCTGTACGCTTTTCCTAAAAGGTTTCCACAATTTTGGCCAACTGCTGTAGCATATTCTTTTTTCGTCTCCAATAATTTTATTACATTTTACAAAGCATACACATAAAAAAAACCAAGATAAGCTAATAATCGAGAAAAGGTAAAGAGAATGAGAACAGAAGTTGGAAAAGATATAAAGAAAGGAAAACACACACACACACACATATACATGTACGTATGTGCATAGATGGTTCTTGACTTACAACAGTTTATTTAATGCAAGTTCAAAGTTACAATGGCGCTGACAAAAGGGACTTACGACCGTTTTTCACACTTACGACTGTTGAAGCATCCCCGTGGTCAAAATACAGCCACTTGGCCACTGACTCATACTTATGACGGTTTCCAGTGTCTCAGGGTCACGTGATTCCCTTTTGTGACCTTCTGACAAGCAATTAATTTAACAACTATGTTACACACTTAACCACTGCAGTAATTCACTTAACAACTGTGGCAAAAAAGGTAACAAGTGTCTCGCTTAGCGACATAAGTTTTTGGTTTCCATTATGGTCGCAAGCCGAGGACTACCTGAATATATATATATATAAAGAATGACTTCCAACTTCTTCTTTCAAGGATAATAACAACACTTCCATGCAACTCTTAATTTAAGGCTGTGTGAAAAACGGGGACAAGTCACCTTTTCCAGTGCTGTTGTATCGTCAAATAGTCACTAAGCGAATTGAGGACAACCTGTATTACTTTTTGTTGGGATGTCAAGTCTATTGGATATTTTTATTGCAGCACATGAGGCCCCTTGGGGTCTGCTGATTTCTTGATTTATTTTTATTTTTTTTTATCATAGGTTCAAAAAACACAAACAGGCTGGAAGCCACTCCAATTCTTTTCATTTGTCCAACGGCCGGACAGATGACGTCGGTGAGTCTTGCAATCTCTCCTCCGTTGTCGGGAACTATAAATCCTAAATCTCCTTCTTCGCCCTCTTAGACCCGTTCCAGAATGATACTCTTAAGACTGTGCCGGGCTCTCCAAAGCAGAAAAGACAGGTTGAGTTAAATATCATCCAACAAAATGAAATTTAATGTGGGGGGGGGGGGAAACAAGTTTTTACACCTGAGCAGGAAAAAAAAGAAAAGAAAAACAAAGGTAAAAGTACAGATTGGGCGAAACCTGGCTCAAAAACAGCAACTGTGAGAGGGACCTTGGAGTCCTAGTGGACGATCATTTAACTGTGAGCCAGCAGTGTACAGCAGCAGCCAAAAAAGCTAATACAATCCTGGGTAGTATAAACAGAGGCATAGAATCAAAATCACGCCAAGTGTTAGTACCGCTTTGTAAAGTCTTAGTAAGGCCATGCTTGGATTTTATAGGTTTTGGTCACCACAAACCTATAAAAAAGATGTTGAGACTTTGGGAAAAAAAAAGTGCAGAGAAGAGCAAATAAGATGATTTAAAAGCTTGGAGACAAAAACATATGAACTGTTGTCGGAATTGGGTATGGCTAGTCTAGAAAAAAGGACTAGGGGGGACACGATAGGAGTCTTCTAGTATTTGAGGGGCTGCCACAGAGAAGAGGGGGTCAAATTATTCTCCAAAGCACCAGAGGGCAGGAGAAGAAACAACGGATGGAAACTAATCAAGGAGAGAAGCAGCCTGGAACTAAAGAGAAACTCCCTAACAGTGAGGACAATTAGCCAGTGGAACTCCCTGCCTCCAGAAGGTGTGGGTGCTTCATCCCTGGAGGTTTTTAAGAAGAGATTTGGCAGCCATTTGTCTGAAATGGTATAGGTCTCCTGCTTGAGCAGGGGGCTGGACTAGAAGACCTCCAAGGGCCCTTCCAGCTGTATTCTGATTCTAAGAGTTTCTCCTCAGCAGTTTCCTTCATTGCTCCTCGCCTGTAGACAGACTCTTGCCAAATTAAAGCAAGCTGCTTGTAGCATTCAAGATCAAAACGCAGTCATGGCACCGTCAGACCTTGCAAAAGGGTCATCAACCTGGCCCAGTTGCTCAATATCTGAATTATGGTGAGGTGAGTGCGTGGGGCACTTCAGATCTGCCTCCTAAGAACCCCCCCCCCAAAGTAGGTCTTTGAACAGTTGCAAAGTGTCAAGATCTACTGGTATTTAACTTGTATTTATTTATATTTCGCCTTTATTATTTTGCATGTAATTCAAGGAGACGGGCATATCCAACACATCTTCGTCCTTCCATTTTCCCCACAATAACAACAACCCTGTGAGGTGGATTGTGCTGGCCTAGAGTCACAGATAGCTTTCATGGCTAAGGCGATACTAGAACTCACCGTCTCCTAGTGAATGGCCCAAGTCACCCAGTTGGCTTTCATGCCTAACGCGGGACTAGACCGTCTCCTGGTGATGGGCCCCAAATCACCCAGTTGGCTTTCATAGCTAAGGCGGGACTAGAACTCACAGTCTCCTGGTGTTTGGCCCAAAGTCACCTACTTGGCTTTCATGCCTAAGGCAGGACTAGAACTCACTGTCTCCTGTTGATTGGCTCAAAATCACCCTCTTGGTTTTCATAGTTAAGGCAGGACTAGAACTCACCGTCTCCTGGTGTTTGGCCCAAAGTCACCTATTTGGCTTTCATAGTTAAGGCAGGACTAGAACTCACCGTCTCCTGTTGATTGGCTCAAAATCACCCACTTGGCTTTCATAGCTAAGGCAGAACTAGAACTCACCGTCTCCTGGTGTTTGGCCCAAAGTCACCCAGTTGGCTTCCATGCCTGAGGCGGAACTAGAACTCACCATCTCCTGGTGAGTTTACCCAGCCTCTTTTCATGCCTAAGGCAGGACTAGAACTCACCGTCTCCTGGTGATTGGCTCAAAATCACCCCGTTGGCTTTCATGCCTGAGGCGGAACTAGAACTCACCATCTCCTGGGGATTAGCCCAAGGTTACCCAGCCTCTTTCATGTCTAAGGCAGGACTTGAACTCAACATCTCCCATGCTTTGATCCCTGGACCAAGCTGGCTTTTTGTAAAGAACCTCATCTCTGAATTTTGCCCGTGGCTACTTCTCTTGTAGAAACTACAAGGCCTTTATGTGCCCTCTACAAGCTCGATTTACTCACGGAGGGGGGAGGGAACCTGCCCTTGCTTTTTCAGAGAAGACACCGCCTCCCACTTCTTTTCCTTTCCATTGGGGTCCTCCATCGACCTCCGTGGCCAGTGTCCCCCTCAACCGAGCCCCTTTCTCCCCCCCCCCTGTGTCCGTCCCGCAGAACCGCAGAGCATGCCGCTGCTGGCCCGGTCTCCCAGCACCAACCGGAAGTACCCCCCACTGCCTGTGGAGAAGCTGGAGGAGGACATTAACCGGCGAATGGCAGACGACAACAAGCTCTTCCGGGAGGAATTCAGTGTGGGTACTTGGCTAACCTTTGACCTCGCTTCCCTCCCATCCCTCCAACCCCCTCGGTCCTTCTTAACTGGGTGGGATTTTTTTATGTTCAGAAAGAAAAAAATGGCTACCGCGATGCATATCTACTTTATGCCAGTCTGAACTGTATGGGCCTCCTTTCTTTTTTTCCTTTTCCTTTCTTTCCTTTTTTCTTTTTTTTCCTGTCTTTCCTTCCTTCCATCCTTCCTTCCCTGCCCTCCTTCCTTCCCTCCCTCTTTCTTTCTTTCTTTCTTTCTTTCTTTCTTTCTTTCTTTCTTTCTTTCTTTCTTTCTTTCTTTCTTTCTCTGTCTCTCACTCTTTCTCTTTGTCTCCATCTCTTTCTTTCTTTCTCTATCTGTCTCTCTTTCTCTTCATCTTTCTTCCTTCCTTTTTTCTTTTTCCTTCCTTTCTTCCCTGCCTCTTTATTTATTTATTTATTTATTTCTCTGTCTCTCTCTCACTCTTTCTCTTTCTCTCCATCTCTTTCTTTCTCTATCTGTCTCTCTTTCTCTCCATCTCTTTCTTCCTTCCTTTTTTTCCCTTCCTTTCTTCCCTGCCTCCCTCTTTCTTTCTTTCTCTCTCTGTCTCTCTTTCTCTTTCTCTCCATCTCTTTCTTCCTTCCTTTTTTCTTTTTCCTTCCTTTCTTCCAAAGTCACCCAGCCGGCGTCATGGCTAAGGCGGGACTAGAACTCACCGTCTCCTGGTGATTGGCCCAAAGTCACCCAGCCGGCTTTCATGCCTAAGGCGGGACTAGAATTCACAGGCTCCTGGTTTTCATGCCTAAAGTAGTTCTAGAACTCACCGTCTCCTGGTGATTGGTCCAAAGTCACCCAGCTGGCTTTCATGCCTGAGGTGGGACTAGAACTCACCGTCTCCTGGTGATTGGCCCAAAGTCACTCAGCAGGCTTTCATGCCTAAGGCGGGACTAGAACTAATTTTGTTACCATTTCCTTATAAACTTATAACTTATTAAAACAATATATCTTAACATCCAGCCTACTTTTTGACGTTCCAAGATTGCAGAATTGGCAACTCTTAGTCCTCCTTAGGATTTTCTGTCCATGCCCTTGAGGCAGAGGTCCCCGTGAACTTGGCTGCTGCAACCCAAGCGATGCTTAAGCTGCCGTAAAAGGGTTTGATTGGTTCGTGTTTGGCTGCCATACTTAGCAGCGATGTAACCGCTATTTATATTCGCTTTGTTCTTCCAGGCACTTCCAGCCTGTCCCATCCAAGCTTCCTGTGAAGCCGCTTCGAAAGAAGAAAACAAGGAGAAAAACAGATACGTCAACATTTTGCCTTGTAAGTATCGATGCTCCCTGTGTTTTTCCCAATTGCTTTCTAGAGATTGTAGATGCGATGGTGAAAACGTAAGCAGTGCCTTCTTGAAATGGGATCCCTGGCCCAGTGAGTCCGGCAATCGGTTCTCAGCAAAGGCCATGGCCTCCGTCTAGGGCAGTGTTTCTCAACCTTGACAATTTTAAGGCATGTGGACTTCAACTCCCAGAATTCCACAGCCAGCATTGCTGGCTGTGGAATTCTGGGAGTTGAAGTCCACATGCCTTAAAATTGTCAAGGTTGAGAAACACTGGTCTAGGGAATTCTGGCAGTCCAAATCCCCATATCTAGAAATTGCCATAGATGGGGTACACATTAATTGATTATAATAAGCAAGGTGGATGAGATATATATTTATACATGATACACATTAATTTATTATAATAAGGTGGATGAGATATATATTTATACATGATACCCATTAGTTTATTATAATAAGCAAGGTGGATGAGATAGATAGATAGATAGATAGATAGATAGATAGATAGATAGATAGATAGATAGATAGATAGATAGATATCATAGTTTGTCATCTGCCCAGAATCACCTTGTAGGAGAGATCAGCAGCATAAAATGTCATAAATAAAATATAATAACAGAAGAACACTAACTCCAATCTCCAAACTTCCATTGACAAAAAGGGAATCAGAATTGCTTCTGTTTATGCCTGACTATTTTTCTCCCTGGTTTGACGCCTTTTAAGAGTCAGTTTGATTTACCACTGAAGGATAAAAATCAAGAACCTATGGGAATGGGAATGGAAAGGAAAATGGGATGGGATGGAATAGAAGAGAAGAGAAAAGAAGAGAAGAGAAGAGAAGAGAAGAGAAATAGAATAGAAATACAGAATAGAATGGAATAGAATAGCAATAGAATAGGAATGCAGAATAGAATAGAAATAAAGACTAGAATAAATAGAATAGAATAGAATAGAATAGAATAGAAATACAGAATAGAATGGAATAGAATAGCAATAGAATAGGAATGCAGAATAGAATAGAAATACAGAATAGAATAGAATAGAATAGAATAGAATAGAATAGAATAGAATAGAGCTGGAAGGGACCTTGGAGGTCTTCTAGTCCAGCCCCCCTGCTCAGGCAGGAAAGCCTATACCAGTGGTGGCGAACCTATGGCATGGGTGCCACAGGTGGCATGCAGAGCCCTCTCTGTGGGCAACCGTGCCATCGCCCAATCCTAGACCTTCAGCTGGGTTTTATAAAACCTTTTTGCTTTAGGCCTCCGCTGCCGTGTACAAAAAAAAAAGGTTCAATCAATCAATCAATTTCAACTTCTTGCGGGAAGAAAAGATCTTGCAAAGTTGAAGTTGATTGATTGAATTTTTTAGTCCCACCCAGTCTGCCGTTACCATTGAAGCCACGCCCACCCAACGGGCCACGCCCACCCGGTACCCAACAATACATAAGTGGGTTTTGGGTTGCAGTTTGGGCACTCGGTCTCGAAAAGGTTCGCCATCACCATTTCAGACTAATGATTGTCCAATGTCTTCTTTTAACAAAACAACAACAACCCAGTGTTGGAGCACCCACACCTAATAAATAAATGATGTCACTAGAAGCCCCCAAGTATACATTTGGGTGCCAACAGAGTTAGGAGACATCAAGGAACCTGTGGATCATTCCAGACAGAGATCCTTCTCGAAGTCAAAGCAGGACAAGAGAGAAAAAGGATGGTCTTTAATGGGAATTAATTCCCTTTGATTCACTACTAAGGGAAGTGGATCACAGTACCAGGATTCTGGTCTGGGGCGATGCCTTTTAATTTTGTTTAGTGTTGACCAAGTGAAGCCCTTCCCTCCAGGTGACCCACAGTCTCCTCTGCCATCCTTCTAAACAACATTTGCAGTTCTCTGCTCCCTTTGTAAACTACTCATTGAGGGCTTAAATAGCTCCCAATTTGCATCTCCTTTTAAAAAAAGAGAGAGAGAAAGAGAGAGATCCTTCTCAACCAGTCAGGAGCTCCTGTTATTGTGAAGGGGCTGAAGAGAAACGAGAGAACTATTGATTCTCAACCCTCCCTTCCTTTGGTGGTGTCAAACCAAGATGCAACCAGGCGAAAGAGGTTGCCTAGGAGATGTGTCCTTAAGAAGTAGCAAGATGCAGGAAAGCAAATCTTGGGGTAGCACAAAAACAACACCCCGTAATTCCATTCTTGGTAAAATGGCTTCTTTGGGGGAAGAAGAAGAAGAGGAAGAAGGAAAAGGAGGAGGAGGAGGAGGAGGAGGAGGAGGAGGAGGAGGAGGAGGAGGAGGAGGAGGAGGAGGAGGAGGAGGAGAGGAGGAAGGAGGAGGAGGAGGAAGGAGGAAGAGGAGGAGGAGGAGAAGAAGAAGAAGAAGAAGAAGAAGAAGAAGAAGAAGAAGAAGAAGAAGAAGAAGAAGAAGAAGAAGAAGAAGAAGAAGAAGAAGAAGAAGAAGAAGAGGAGGAGGAGGAGAAGAAGAGAAGGAGGAGAAGAAAGGAAGAAGAAGAAGAAGAAGAAGAAGAAGAAGAAGAAGAAGAAGAAGAAGAAAAAGAAGAAGAAGAAGAAGAAGAAGAAGAAGAAGAAGAAGAAGAAGAAGAAGAAAGAAGAGAAGGAGGAGAAGAAGAGGAGGAGGAGAAGAAGAAGAAGAAGAAAGAAGAGAAGGAGGAGAAGAAGAGGAGGAGGAGAAGAAGAAGAAGAAAGAAGAGAAGGAGGAGAAGAAGAGGAGGAGAAGAAGAAGAAAGGAGGAGGAGGAGGAGAAGAAGAAGAAGAGAAGGAGGAGGAGAAGAAGAAAGAAGAAGAAGGAAAAGGAGGAGGAGGAGGAGAAGAAGAAAGAGGAAGAAGAGGAGGAGGAGGAGGAGGAGACAACCACTCAAACAATTCATTTAGGTCAGGAATGAATTAAAACAGCAGTGATCACAAAGGTGTGGAGGGTTGGAGAATAAGGATTAGAGATTGGGCCTAGTTTTTGCAGTAGATAGTTGCTGCTAATAGTTTCAACGAAGAGTTGCTGAGTCCACTGGGAGGTTTATCCATGCCTTCAGGATCGGCATGGAGCCTTTTTACAACACAATCTACAACCCGGTCCTTTCAGCAGTTCCAAGGAGATTCCTCACCGATTTAGGATAAGATAACAACCTTTATTGTCATTTTTTTACTATGGGCACAACGGCACACATCAAAAATGAAATTTAGTTGCCCGCTCTCAAAGTGAAACGCATACATGACACACACCTAAACATACTGTGGACAACATATGTACTATAGACCCACACCCCTACATATACAAAACAAATGATTATTAAATACTGTCCATCTTGAATACATAATGGAAGGAGGAAGCTTGAGAGTTCACAAGGTTAATGCTGTATGGAATGAAACTATGGCTGAATCTGGATGTTCTGCTACAGATACTACGGAGCCCCCTCCTCCCGGAAGGGAACAGGTCATGGAGAGGATGTGTCATGTCCCAGATGATCTTGTGGACCCTGCTCAAGCAACGCTTCTGTGCCACATCCTGGATGGGAGGGAGGGAGCTGCCAATCATTTTTTCTGCTGTCCTCACCACTCTGCACTGCCTTCCTGTTTGAAGCAGGGATGCTTCCAAACCAGACCGTGATGCCGTATGACAGGATGCTCTCAATCGTCCCCCTGCAGAAAGTGGTCAGGACAGGGGAAGGAAGACGTGCTTTTCTCACGTGACGCAGAAAATGCAGGCCCTGCTGTGCCCGCTTTACCAGTTTCTCCCTGTTGAGTGACCAAGCCAACCTACTCGTTAGCTGCACACCCAGGAATTTGATGTTGGCAACCATCTCCACAGGTGAATCATTAATGCACAGAGAAGTGTGGCTGTGCCTGCCTTTTCTGCACTATTCAGGTGACCCTGAGGGCAACGATAAGCCTCCGAACGGCCTCAACGATTCTCAGAGAGAATACTAACGACCAGAGGACTGCAAAGAATATAAATAGTAATAGTAATAGTAGTAAAGTTGGAAGGGACCTTGGAGGTCATCTAGTCCAACCCCCTGCTCGGGCAGGAAACCCTACACCATTTCGGACAAATGGCTGTCCAGTCTCGTCTTAAAAACTTCCAGTGTTGGAGCATTTACTGCTTCTGGAGGCAAGCTGTTCCACGGATTAATTGTTCTCACTGTCAGGAAGTTTCTCCTTAGTTCTAGGTTGCTTCTCTCCTTGATTAGTTTCCACCCGTTGCTTCTTGTCCTGCCTTCAGGTGCTTGGAAAATAGCTTAATTCCCTCTTCTTTATGGCAGCCCCTGAGATATTGGAATACTGCTATCATGTCCCCCCTTGTCCTTCTCTTCGTTAAACTAGACATACCCAATTCTCGCAACCGTTCCTTATATGTTTTAGCCTCCAGTCCCCTAATCATCTTTGTTGCTCTTCTCGGTACTCTTTCTAGAGTCTCAACATCTTTTTTACATCGTGGTGACCAAAACTGGATGCAGTATTCCAAGTGTGGCCTTACCAAGGCATTGAAGAGTGGTATTAATACTTCACGTGATCTTGATTCTATCCCTCTGTTACCGTTCAGTCAGAACCGAAGAAGCTTCTTGGATGGGAAGCGAAACTTCTTCAAGGAAAAACAAAGGAAGTCTAGTTGCTTTCTGAAAAAGCCCCTTTGGGAAAACCGTGACCCGGATGGCTTGAGTATCTCCATAGACAAGACAGTATCGCTCACAAATGAAGGCGAATATACAAGTCCCAGGATAATTGTCGCTGGGTCCAACCTGGGTCGGTCAGCAGAACCAGAAGTTTTGTCTTCCGAGCTTTTGGGATTTGTGATGGAACTTCACAAATGTGAAGTGTGTGTGCTGTTCTGTGTGTGGCACTTAGAGTGCCTATTGTATGTGGCTTTTGAGATGTCAATTGGGGTGTGTCGATGGCTGACTTTTAAGTTCGTTGGCTGTCGTTTGTGCTTGTGCTGCCCAGCCCTTGATAGGCTGGCGGACAATCAGCACTTCTGTTTCCCAGGCTTCAATCACTTCCCTGGCTGTTTTTGTGCCTGCTCATCCGACAATCTTAGTAACTGGGCTTCAGCATGAGTCTGAAATAATGTCCTGGTCCCGTTGACCGACGCATTATAATAGATTGTATTGAGTTGTCACTTCTCTAGTTTTCCTTTGCCCTGAAACCAGATCATGTGAAGGTTGACCTTTTGGAGATAAATTTGATTTCACCGGAGACTGGACAGCCATTTGTCTGAAATGGTATAGGGCTTCCTGCCTGAGCAGGGGGTTGAATTAGATGACCTCCAAGGTTCCTTCCAACTTTATCGTTGTTGTTGTTGATCATCGCACAGTCAGCCAGATATTCAGACTGGATTTGGCATTTTGTCTACCTATCGAGTCCTTACCCAGGACCTGGGATAGGCAGATGTGGATGTTTGAAGGTATTACAGGTATCGTGGCAGGATGGAAGCAGTTCCTAGTAAGGCCGCCTTTTGCAATTGACTAATAGCGAATTTGTCAATGCCAATGGTGTTCAAGTCGTGCTCCAGTTGTTTTGGGTTTGCACCCAAGGAGCCTATTACTATTGGTACTATCCTTGCTTGCTTTTGCCACAATCTTTCTGTTTCTATTTGTAGATCTTTGTATTTTGTTATATTCTCCAGTTCTTTCTCGTCTATTCTGCTATCTCCAGGCACTGCCACGTCCACTATCCAGACTTTTTTGTCTTTCTTATCGACAATTGTTAAGTCCGGGGTGTTATGTGGCAGGTGCTTCTCTGTTTGAATTCTGAAGTCCCAGAGCAGTTTAATTTTATCATTTTCTATGACTTTCTCTATTTTATGGTCCCACCAGTTTTTGCTTACAGGCAAATGATATTTTTTGCAGATCTTCCAATGCACCATTGTTGCTACTTTGTCATGCCGCTGCTTATAGTCAGTCTGTGCGATCTTCTTGCAACAGCTTACCAGGTGGTGGTCCACTGTTTCTTCAGCTTCTTTGCCTAGAAGACTTACTGTCTGTTGCTGTCTTCTCAATTTTTGACTTTATATGCATTTGTCCTTAAGGCTTGGTCTTGTGCAGCCAGAATTAGTCCCTCGGTCTCTTTCTTCAATTTTCCTGCTCTTAGCCATTGCCAGGTCTTGTTATTATCTGCTTTCCCAGCTATTTTTTTCACGTATTGGCCATATAGTGCTTTGTCTTCCCATGTCTCTATTCTGTTCTTCATTTGGTCTTTCTTGTAGGCCAGTTTGGTCTCTCCAGTAGTCAGTAAGCCTTCATGATGATGATGATGATGATGATGATGATGATGATTTCCTCCATTGCCCAAATGCTTTTGCCATTAATGGTCCTCTTCTCTGTTCTAGATGACCATTCCAGGCTTCACCTGACACCCATTGAAGGGGTTCCAGACTCCGATTATATCAATGCCTCGTTCATTAATGTAAGTATCTTCAAAAGGGTAGGAATATTCCCAAGATAAAGATAGTCCTTGACTTAAACATTTAGTGACTTTTGGGAAGTCACAGAGCCCCCCCAAAAAGTGACTTAGGACCGTTTTTCATACTTAATGACTGTTGGAGCATCCCCGTGGTCACGTGATCAAAATTCAGACGCTTGAGCGGCTGATTCGTATTTATGATGGTCACAGCGTCCCCGGGGGGGTGTCACGTGATTCCATTTGGCGATCTTCTGACAAGCAAAGTCAATGGGGGGGAAGCTGGATTCATTTAACGACCCGGTTACTAACTTAACAACTGCAGGGATTCCCTTAGCATGGGGAAGAGCTCAGTTAACAAATGTTTCACTTAGCTACAGAAATATTGGTACCTATTGCGGTCGTAAGTCGAAGAGTATCTTGTATTCTGGGAGATTGAGGTATTCTTCCTGTTTGGGCCGAAGGAAAAAACAGTAGCTCCTGATTCTTGTACGATCTCCCTCTGTTTTAACCCGTAGATCTAGCTCAGGGGTAGGCAACCTTGGCTCTTTTATGACTCGTGGACTTCAACTCCCAGAATTCCTGAGTCAGCCACGCTGAGGGGAAAGAGAGAGGTTTCCAAGCTGAGCCATGCTGGCTCAGGAATTCTGGGAGTTGAAGTCCACGAGTCTCATAAAGCGGCCTAGGCCAGAGGTAGGCAACCTTAGCTCTTTTTTGACTCATGGACTTCAACTCCCAGAATTCCTGAGCTAGCCACGCTGAGGGGAAAAGGAGAGGTTTCCAAGCTGAGTCATGCTGGCTCAGGAATTCTGGGAGTTGAAGTCCACCAGTCATAAAAGAGCCAAGGTTGCCTACCCCTGACTAGCTCATCCACAGATAAATCTTATTTTCCCCGGCTGTAAGGTAGTTTGTATACAGTGACAATATTTGCAAAGTAAAGAATTAACCCCGTGGGAGGAAGATGCCAAAATCTGGGTCTTCAACCAACGCCAGAGATAAAACATCACTGTTTTTATTCCTGTCTTGCTTCTTTGCAGGGGTATCAGGAGAAGAACAGGTTCATTGCTGCACAAGGTAAATAATATTTATTTTTTCCATTGAATTTCTACACCGCGAGGATTAGCAATGTGTAGTTTTGAAATGTTTCTTCCTACAGAGTTTTCCCAAGCTAGAATTGTGCTGCAGGGGCTCCTAATATAAAGGGGGGGGAGGAAATACTTAGATAAATATTGCTCTCTTTTTTTTGTGTGTGTGTGTGTTTGTGACTTGAGGAGAACGACAAAACGTAACCAACTTCCTGCAGCTCCCTGAAAGTTTTGCTTTTTGGGACAGCTTTCATACCAAGTCAACATTGCCTTGGTAAGGCTACACTTGGAATACTCCGTCCAGTTTTGGTCACCACAATGTTAAAAAAGATGTTGAGACTCTAGAAAGAGTACAGAGAAGAGCAACAAAGAGGATTAGGGGACTGGAGGCTGAAACATATAAGGAACAGTTGCTGGAATTGGGTATATCTAGTTTAACAAAGAGAAGGACAAGGGGGAGACATGATAGCAGCCTTCCAATATCTCAGGGGCTGCCCCAAAGAAGAGGGAGTCAAGCTATTCTTCAAAGCACCTGAAGGTAGGAGAAGAAGAAATGGGTGGAAACTAAGCAAGGAGAGAAGCAATCTAGAACTAAGGAGAAACTTCTTGACAGTGAGAACAATTAACCAGTGGAACAATCTGCCACCAGAAGCTGTGGGTGCTCCAACACTGGAGGTTTTTAAGAAGAGACTGGACAGCCATTTGTCTGAAATGGTTTAGGGTTTCCTGCCTGAGCAGGGGGTTCTAGCCTCTTCTTAAAAATCTCCAGTGATGGAGCGCCCACAATTTCTGGTGGCAAGCAATTCCATTGGTTTATTGTCCTCACTGTCAAGAAGTTTCTCCTTAATTCCAGGTTGCTTCTCTCTTTGTTCAGTTTCCAACCATTGTTTCTCGTCCTTCCCTCTGGTGCTTTGGAGAATAACGTGATCCTCCTTCTTCTTTGTGGCAGCCTTTCAAATACTGGAATGCTGCTGTCATGTCTCCCCTATTTCTTCTTTTCTTTAGACTAGCCTAAGGGTAGGTAACCTTGGCTCTTTTATGACTCGTGGACTTCAACTCCCAGAATTCCTGAGCGTGGCTGCCTCAGGAATTCTGGGAGTTGAAGTCCACTAGTCATAAAAGAGCCAAGGTTGCCTACCTCTGGCCTAGGCCTAGGCTGCTTTATGACTCGTGGACCAACTCCCAGAATTCCTGAGCCAGCCTGGCTCAGCTTGGAAAGCTCTCCCTTTCCCCTCAGCATGGCTGCCTCAGGAATTCTGGGAGTTGAAGTCCACGAGTCGTAAAAGAGCCAAGGTCGCCTACCCCTGATCTATGCGGATAGCAGCATCCCAAAATCTTCTGATTGTCATTCCTAGCCAGCTGCCGACAAGCCAAGTCAGTGGGGAAAGCCAGATTCATTTAGTGACTGCCTGATTCACTTAACAACCGTGCCATAAAAGGCCATAAAATTGGGGGTGGTGCACTTTAATAAGCACCTGGCTTAGCGGCGGAAATTCTGGCCCCAATTTCAAGGACTACCTTGGAGAATCCGGTCTGTGGACCGCCAACGTACGCGAAGTGATGCTGGTTTGCAGGAGATATATCTGGGTTAATAGACCGGTGGGCCCAATTTGGTTTCAAGTAGCTTCATGACTTGGGTTGAAGCGATTCAGCTCGCCTGCTTCTTCCCGATAAGCGGTTTTTCTCTGGCGGTGCTCCTCACGGATGGTCTCTTGGCAGGGCCCAAAGAAGAAACTGTGAATGACTTCTGGAGAATGATTTGGGAGCAAAACACAGCCACAATTGTCATGGTGACCAATCTGAAGGAGAGGAAAGAGGTATGTATGTGCTACTCCCATTTTAGGCATGAAAGCCGGCTGGGTGACTTTGAGCCAGTCACCGGGAGATGGTGAGTTCTAGTCCTGCCTTTGGGATGACTGGGTGACTTTGGGCCAATCACCAGGAGATGGTGAGTTCTAGTCTCACCTTAGGCATGAAAGCTGCCTGGGTGACTCTGGCCTAGTCACTAGGAGACAGTGAATTCTAGTCCTGCCTTAAGCATGAAAACTGGCTGGGTGACTCTGGGCCAATTACCAGGAGACAGTGAATTCTAGTACCTTAGGCATGAAAGTCAGCTGAGTGACTTTGGGCCAATCACCAGGAGATGGTGAGTTCTAGTCCTGCCTTAGGCATGAAAGCTGCCTGGGTGACTCTGGCCCAGTCACTAGGAGACAGTGAATTCTAGTCCTGCCTTAAGCATGAAAACTGGCTGGGTGACTCTGGGCCAATTACCAGGAGACAGTGAATTCTAGTACCTTAGGCATGAAAGTCAGCTGAGTGACTTTGGGCCAATCACCGGGAGATTGTGAGTTCTAATCCCGCCTTAGGCATGAAAACCAGCTGGATGACTTTGGGCCAGTCACCAGGAGACAGTGAATTCTAGTCCTGCCTTAGGCATGAAAGCTGCCTGGGTTACTCTGGGCCAATCACCATGAGATGGTGAGTTCTAGTCCCGCCTTAGGCATGAAAGCTGCCTGGGTTACTCTGGGCCAATTACCAGGAGACAGTGAATTCTAGTACTGCCTTAGGCATGAAAGCCAGCTGAATGACTTTGGGCCAATCACCAGGAGATGGTGAGTTCTAGTCCTGCCTTAGGCATGAAAGTCAGCTGAGTGACTTTGGGCCAATCACCAGGAGACGGTGAGTTCTAGTCCCGCCTTAGACATGGAAGCCAGCTGGGTGACTTTGAGCCATTCCCTCTCTCTCAGCTTAACCCACCTCATCAGGTTGTTATTGTGAGGAAACTAGAAGAAGGAAGAAGTATTTGCCTTGAGTTGTTTATAAAAAATAAGAGAGGTGGATGCAAATAATAAATAAGCATTTATTTTTGTCTCCCAGTTCCGCTTTCTTTTAGTTAAGGGTGCCTCTAGTCTAGGAAGATCTTCCCAACTCTCTGGTGCCACCTTCAGCTCTTTGTGATTATACAATAGCCAGAATCACTAATATAGTACAATCCTGGCATTTTTTTACCATCACAATGTACGACTTGGCAGAAAGATGAAGGCAAAACTCTTCGGTGCTTGCCAGATATTTAGGCCGATAGAACAGTGGTTCTCAACCTTTTTAATGCTGCGACCCCCAACCAATCATAAGTCGAGGACTACTCAACCGGTCGTAAGTCAAGGACTACTCAATTGGTGCAGCACCGTTTGCAGAATGGGATTTTTGGCGGGCTCAGCAGGGCAGAGACAGCCTGGACAATTCCTATTGGCTTTGGAAAGCCAATAGAATTAGACTCTATTCAAGAGAGTCTATTCTATTGGCTTCCAAAAGCCAACAGAATAAAAGGGAGTAGCACAGCGAAGGAAAAGGGGGGAAAAAATGGCGGACTGCGTTGTTTGGCGACCCCTGTGAAATGGTCGTTCGACCCCAAATGGGGTCCCGACCCACAGGTTGAGAACCACTACGATAGAAGATAATAAATAAAGTTACACTTTATTTGAATGTATTGTCCAACCCGGACCAGCTGCATAGTCGGATAGCCGAGTGGTCTCTTTTCCGCTGCCATTCCGCTCTCTGAAGAGACTCAGGCAGTTAGCCACCAAGTCATGTCCACAGACTTACCTGTGTGGCTGCCCAGCCAGATTTGGAAAGGCTTTTAACCTGCAGTAGATGCTGACTTGCCCCAGGAGTGATCATGGTTAGTGAGGAGCGATCACGGGTTAGACCATCTCCTCGTCTCTTCTGCCCTGCATCTTGGTTTGTTGTGTGGTCTCTCCTCAGTGTAAATGTGCCCAATATTGGCCAGATCAGGGCTGCTGGACTTACGGGAATATCCGGGTTTCTGTGGAAGACGTGACGGTCCTGGTGGACTACACAGTGCGGAAGTTCTGCATTCAACAGGTAGGAAGTTCTGCATTCAACAGGTAGGAGGTTCTGCATCCAACAGGTAGGCCTGGCTGGTGTTTCGGGTTGCCTGGCCTTGTGAGAGGCAGGTAGATCAGCCCCCATGTGCTGCTTGCTTGCTGATTTTTTTTTTTTTTTTTTTTTTAGGTAAGTGGATGCATAAAGGGCTGTGTAAATTTCCTGCGTAATGCTTGCTGTCGTTAGGGTGATCCTAGCCAGGGAGAAAGAGAGAGAGAGAGAATGGGAAAAGGAGAGAGAGGAAAGCAGAGGAGCAATGGAAAATAAGAAAGAAAAAAGGAGAGACAGAGAAAGAAAAGGAGAAAAAAAGAAGAAAGAAAAAAGGAAAGAAAGAAAGAAGGAGAAAGAAAAGGCAAGAAAGAAGAGGTGAAAAGAGAAATTAAGCAAAAGAAAAGGAGAGAGAAATTAAGAAAAGAAAGAAAAGAAGAGACAAAAAGAGCAAAAAGGAAGGAAGGAAGAGAAAGAGGGACAAAGAAAGACAAAAGAAAAAAAAAGACAGAAAGAGGGAGAGAGAAATATACAGAAGGAAGGAAGGAAGGAAGGAAGGAAGGAAGGAAGGAAGGAAGGAAGGAAGGAAGGAAGGAAGGAAGGAAGGAAGGAAGGAAGGAAGGGGTGAATGCTCCAGCACTGGAAATTTTTAAGAAGAGACTGGACAGCCATTTGTCTAAAATGGTATAGGGTCTCCTGCCTGAGCAGGGGGTTGGACTAGATGACCTCCAAGGTCCCTTCCAACTTTATTATTATTATCGATCATCGCACAGTCAGCCAGATGTTCAGACTGGATTTGGCATTTTGTCTACCTATCGAGTCCTTACCCAGGACCTGGGATAGGCAGATGTGGATGTTTGATGGTATTACAGATATCGTCGCAGGATGGAAGCAGTTCCTAGTAAGGCCGCCTTTTGCAATTGACTAATAGCGAATTTGTCAATGCCAATGGTGTTCAAGTGGTGCTCCAGTTGTTTTGGGATTGCACCCAAGGAGCCTATGACTATTGGTACTACCCTTGCTTGCTTTTGCCACAGTCTTTCTATTTCTATTGTAGGTCTTTGTATTTTGTTATCTTCTCCAGTTCTTTCTCTTCTATTCTGCTATCTCCAGGCACTGCCACGTCCACTATCCAGACTTTTTTGTCTTTCTTATCGACAATTGTTAAGTCTGGGGTGTTATGTTGCAGGTGCTTGTCTGTTTGAATTCTGAAGTCCCAGAGCAGTTTAATTTTATCATTTTCTATGACTTTCTCTATTTTATGATCCCACCAGTTTTTGCTTACAGGCAAATGATATTTTTTGCAGATCTTCCAATGCACCATTGTTGCTACTTTGTCATGCCGCTGCTTGTAGTCAGTTTGTGCAATCTTCTTGCAACAGCTTACCAAGTGGTCCACTGTTTCTTCAGCTTCATGGTCCACTGTTTCTTCAGCTTCTTTGCATAGGCGGCACTTACTGTCTGTTGCTGTCTTCTCAATTTTGACTTTGTATGCATTTGTCCTTAAGGCTTGGTCTTGTGCAGCCAGAATTAGTCCCTCGGTCTCTTTCTTCAATTTTCCTGCTCTTAGCCATTGCCAGGTTTTATTATTATCTGCTTTCCCAGCTATTTTTTTCATGTATTGGCCATGTAGTGCTTTGTCTTCCCATGCCTCTATTCTGTTCTTCATTTGGTCTTTCTTGTAGGCCAGTTTTGGTCTCTCCAGTAGTTAGTAAGCCTTCCTGATATACTAATTTCAGTGCATCTTCATCATTGTTCTTCAGATATTCTTCCAAAGCCATTTTTTCTTCTTCAACCATCTGATGTACTTGTAGCATTCCACGCCCACCTATTTGCCTTGGTAGATAAAGTCTATCAATGTCACTGCGTGGATGAAGGGCATGATTCATTGTCATTATTTTTCTGGTCTGCCTATCCATTGCTTTTAGTTCTGCTTGAGTCCAGTCCACTATTCCAGCTGTGTACCTAATGACTGGGATTGCCCAGGTGTTGATTGCCTTTATGGTATTTCCTCCATTGAGTTTGGATTTTAAGATCTTCTTCACTCTCTTGATGTATTCACCTCTAATCTTTTTCTTGACTTCAGTGTGCTTGATGTTGTCAGCTTGAAGGATACCCAAGTATTTGTAGTACTCTTCCTCATCCAGACTCTTAATGTTATTTTCGTGGGGCATCTTGATTCCTTCAGTTTTCATTATTATTATTATTATTATTATCGATCATCGCACAGTCAGCCAGATGTTCAGACTGGATTTGGCATTTTGTCTACCTATCGAGTCCTTACCCAGGACCTGGGATAGGCAGATGTGGATGTTTGATGGCATTACAGATATCGTCGCAGGATGGAAGCAGTTCCTAATAAGGCTGCCTTTTGCAATTGACTAATAGTAAATTTGTCAATGCCAATGGTGTTCAAGTGGTTTATTATTATTATTATTATTATTATTATTATTATTATGAAAAGGAAGGAAGGAGCTGCTTTGTCTCTCTTCCTCCAAGCCAAAATGCGATGATATTATTATTATTATTATTATTATTATTATTATTATTATTATTATTATTATTATTATTTAAAAGGTCTCGGTGAGAAAAACAAAGGAAAGAAGCACCTAGTACAGTGGTTCTCAGCCTTTCTAATGCCGCGATCCCATAATACAGTTCCCCATGTTGTGGTGACCCCCAATCACTTATACATCACCGGGGGCCAGGGGTGTGGCCAAAGAAAAGGGGAAAAAAATGGCGGACAGCCTTGTTTGGCGACCCCCGTGAAATAGTCGTTCGACCCCAAATGGGGTCCCGACCCACAGGTTGAGAACCACTGACCTAGTATATCCCCATCCCGGGTGTCTTCTCTCCTCCTCTTCGCTAGCTTCCCTCTTCCTCCCTTCTCTCCCTCCCTCAATCTTCCAAGCTATTCCCCCACCTCCCGCAACGGGCCTTGGGTGGAGCCAAGAGCCCCCCTATTCTTCCCAGGATGGGGCAGACCCTGGCTAACCTTGGCCACCTTTCCACCCAGGTCGGCGACGTCACCAATAAAAAACCCCAGCGCCTGGTGACGCAGTTCCATTTCACCAGCTGGCCGGATTTCGGGGTGCCTTTCACGCCCATCGGGATGCTGAAGTTCCTGAAGAAGGTGAAGACCTGCAACCCCCAATACGCAGGCGCCATTGTGGTCCACTGCAGGTCAGTGCTTCCCTCGTGGAGGGGAAAGGGCGATTCCCCGGCATGCCAGGCGCCATTTTGAGCAGGTGGCCAACTAGGACTTTAAGACTTGTGGACTTCAACTCCCAGAATTCCTCAGCCAGCTTTGCTGGCTGAGGAATTCTGGGAGTTGAAGTCCACAAGTCTTAAAGTCGCCATGATTGGGGACCCCTAAACTAGGACACCTTGACGAGCAGAGGACTTCAACTCCCAGAATTCCATGCCAGCTGAGGAATTCTGGGAGTTGATGTCCACAAGCCTTAAAGTCGCCAAGTTTGAAGACCCCTGAACTAGGACACCTTGACGAGCAGAGGCCTTCAACTCCCATGCCAGCTGAGGAACTCTGGGAGTTGAAGTCCAGAGTTCGTCCAGTTGTCATGGTTGCTTACCTCTGATTGATAGGCTGTTGAATCTTCCTTCAAGTCCTACATACAGCTAGTCCTCGACTTAACAACCATTCGTTTAATGACCGTTCAAAGTTACAACGGCACCGAAAAAAGGGACTTAGGACCGTTTTTCATGCTTAAAACCATGGCAGCCTCCCTGTGGTCACGGGATCAGAATTCAACAACTTGGCCACTGGCACACATTTACGATGGCGACAATGTCTCAGGTTTATGTGATCCCCTTTTACGACCTTCTGACAAGCAAAGTCAGATTCACTTAACGACCGAACAACTGTCCACCAGTCGTAAGCTATGATCTAAAACAACTGACATTGACATAATTTTGTTTCTCCCTTCTCCCTCCTCGCCACCCTGTCCTTTAGTGCTGGTGTGGGACGAACAGGAACCTTCATTGTGATCGACGCCATGCTGGACATGATGCACGCCGAGAAGAAGGTGGACGTTTACGGGTTTGTGAGTCGAATTCGGGCCCAACGGTGCCAGATGGTCCAGACTGATGTAAGTCTTCTGAAAGGCCCGTCTTTCATCGGATCCATTTTCCCCCCAGATTGTATCATTGGCCCGGCTCGTCTCCAGTCGTTCTTCTTCTACTCATAATCCTGGGGCTGAGATTATGGGGTCGGGGTTGGGAATCCTGGGATTGGGACTGTGGGGGTGGGATTGGGAATCCCGGGATTGGGATTACGGGATTCGTAATCCTGAGATTGAGATGATGGGGCTGGGATTGGGATTATGAAATTGGGAATCCTGGGATTATGGGATTAGGATTGGGATTATGCAGTTGAGGTTGGGATTATGCGGTTGAGGTTGGGATTAGGAGATTGGGAATCCTGAGATTGAGATGATGGGATTGGGGTTGGAAGTAATGGGATTCGGAATTTTGGGATTGTGGAGTTGGGATTGGGATTATGGCGTTGGTATTGAGATTATGAAATTGGGAATCCTGAGATTGAGATTTTGGGATTGGGAATCCTGGGATTATGGGATTGGGAATCCTGGGATATTGGGATTGGGATTGTGGGGTTGGGATTAGGATTATGCAGTTGGGATTGGGATTATGCAGTTGGGATTGGGATTATGAGATTCGGAATCCTGAGGTTGAGATGATGGGATTGGGGTTGGGAATAATGGGATTAGGAATTTTGGGATTATGGGGTTGGGATTGGGATTAAGGGGTTGGGATTGGGATTAAGGGGTTGGGATTGTGGAGTTGGGATTGGGATTATGAGATTGGGAATCCTGAGATTGAGAATCTTGGGATTATGGGGTTGGAACTGGGAATCTCAAAATTATGGGGGAACTGTTTAAATTATTGTTCTTTCTAATTGCTGTGTGATCAGTTGTTTATTTAATTTCATCTGTGGTTTAATTTGGAGGCGAAGAAATAAAATTCATGAAATTTGGGGATGTTTTCTTTGAAATTGGGACCGGGCGTTCACGGTGCTCTTTGAGCTTGGATGTTTCTTGCAAATATGTTTCATTCCCTCCAACTTGGAGTCTTCAGTTTATGACCAGTCACTTAACAACAATCTGAAGTTACGACAAATTTACCTTGGGGTACTTACAACCCAGATTCAACGTTCCGATGATCCTGGTTTCCCGTGGTCCCCTTCCCCTTGTGATCACATGACCAAATTTCAGATGCTCAGTAACTGAAGAGTTTTTGGAATGCAACAGCTCCCCCCCACCCCAAATCCAAACGAATAAAATAAACTGAACAAGAGTTTTCTCTCCTTTCAGATGCAGTATGTGTTCATCTACCAGGCGCTCCTGGAGCATTACCTGTATGGAGACACAGAACTGGAGGTGACCTCGCTGGAGGCCCACCTCCAGAAGATTTACAACAAAATTTTGGGGAGCAGCAGCAACGGATTAGAGGAAGAGTTTAAGGTGGGGAGCAATTTTTGACCTGAGACCTCCAGATCATGGCTTGGTGACAACTGATCAATAAAGCCAAAGGATTTCTCTTTCGCCACAAACACTCATCTCATTTGCACTCTAGTTGTGGGCTGAATGCTCATGAATTCACACTCGTAACATTGGTTTGGCTCTACTGATTCAGACACCGGGTTAGAAAGCGGGAGAGCGGGAGTTCTAGTTCCACCTTAGCCATGAAACTCAGCTCGGTGATTTTTGGGTCAGTCATCAGGAGATACTGAGTTGTAATCCCGCTTTAGGCAAGCTAGCCAGCTGGGTGACTTTGGGTCAATCACGAGGAGACGAGTGAATTCTAGTTCCGCCTTTAGGCATGCTAGCCAGCTGGGTGACTTTCAATCACCAGGAGACGGGTGAGTTCTAGTTCCGCCTTTAGGCATGCTAGCTGGCTGGGTGACTTTCAATCACCAGGAGACAGGTGAGTTCTAGTTCTGCCTTTAGGCATGCTAGCCAGCTGGGTGACTTTAGGTCAATCACGAGGAGACGAGTGAGTTCTAGTTCCGCCTTTAGGCATGCTAGCCGGCTGGGTGACTTTGGGTCGATCACTAGGTAAATTGTAATAAAATTATGTTGGAGACTGCGAGTTCTAGTCCTGCCTTAGGCATGAAAGCTGGCTGGGTGACTTTGGGCCAGTCGCCAGGAGATGGTGAATTCTAGTCCCACCTTAGGCTTGAAAGCCAGCTGGGTGATTTTGGGCCAATCACTAGGAGACAGTGAGTTTTAGTTTCATCGTAGGCATGAAAGCCAGCTGGGTGACTTTGGGCCAATTACCAGGAGACGGTGAGTTCTAGTTCCGCCTTTAGGCATGCTAGCCGGTTATGTGACTTTGGGTCAATCACCAGGAGATGGAGAGTTCTAGTCACACCTTAGGCATGTTAGCCAGCTAGGTGAATTCGTACCAATCACCAAGAGATGGGTGCCACCTTCGACTGGGTGCCCTTGGGCCAATCACCAGGAGACAGTGAGTTCTAGTCCTGCCTTAGGCATGAAAACCAGGTAGGTGACTTTGGGCCAATCCTTTTCTCTCACAGGGTTGTTGCTGTGGGGAAAACAGGAGGAGGAAAGTGTACTGGATCTGTTCCCCGCCATATTTGTAAAAATAATAAAGGCGGGATACAAATAAAGAAATAAAAATTTGGGGTCGTCTCTTTCTGTAATCCTAGAAAGAAGGGGAGAAAAGCCTAGGTCCACAAACGTTCTAGAGGTTGGAAAGTTGGGGATGCTAAGGTGCATTTATTTACACCTAGTTCCACGTGGCATATAGGGCCACCCTTTAAAGCAGGAGTAGGCAACCTTGGCTCTTTTATGACTAGTGGACTTCAACTCCCAGAATTCCTGAGCCAGCCATGCTGAGAGGAAATGGAGAGGTTTCCAAGCTGAGCCATGCTGGCTCAGGAATTCTGGGAGTTGAAGTCCACCAGTCATAAAAGAGCCATGGTTGCCTACCTCTGGCCTAGGCCGCTTTCTGACTTGTGGACTTCAACTCCCAGAATTCCTGAGCCAGCATGAGGAACTACAGCCGCTTTATAACCTGTGGACTTCAACTCCAGAATTCCTGAGCCAGCATGGCTCAGTTTGGAAACCTCTCCCTTTCCCCTCAGCATGGCTGGCTCAGGAATTCTGGGAGTTGAAGTCCACGAGTCATGAAGGGGCCAAGGTTGCCTACCTCTGGCCTAGGCCTAGGCCGCTTTATGACTCCCAGAATTCCTGAGCCAGCCATGCTGAAGGGAAAGGGAGAGGTTTCCAAGCTGAGCCATGCTGGCTCAGGAATTCTGGGAGTTGAAGTCCACCAGTCATAAAAGAGCCAAGGTTCCCTATCCCAGCCTTAAACAGACACCTCTTTGGCCCGTGCAGATCTGTCTTTGACACTTACGTCCCGCTTCTCTCTTTCCGCAGAAACTTACCTCCATCAAAATCCAAAATGACAAAATGAGGACGGGCAACTTGCCGGCTAATATGAAGAAGAACAGGGTGCTGCAGATAATCCCATGTAAGGCATTACGGGGAGAAAAAAAAAGAACTTGAAATTCACATTTTAGGGCAGGTTGTACATTGAGGACAAACTACGTATCTGCATTTCTGGGCATCGCTGCTGCGTTAGAACGGCCTATGCGAGTGCTGGCAGAGAGACATCGCCATTTTGAGGGGTTGCTATGGAAACCCATCGTTTCTGAGCCACTTCCAGAGTCCATCCCTAAATGCTTCTCTCACCAGACATTTCTAAAATAGTTCTCGTCTCCTTTCGTCCCTGCAGATGAGTTCAACCGGGTGATCATTCCAGTGAAAAGAGGCGAAGAAAACACAGACTACGTAAACGCTTCCTTTATTGACGTGAGTGTCACTTCCCTGAACTTTATAATCTGGGCTGAGCAACTTATTCAAGAAAAGTTAAAATACCCAGCGCTCAAATTTTGAAAAAATGAAGAAGAAGAAAAAAAACACCCAACCAAAAAGACATTTTAAAAAGTGCTATTTCTATTGCTATTCCATTCCATTCCATTGTCATGGTGGCCCAGTGGTGAGAAAACAGCATTGCAGACTCACTCTGCCCACAGCCAGCAGTTCGATCCAGATGGGGCTCAAGGTGGACTCGTCCTTCCGAGGTTGATAAAATGAGGACCCAGATTTTTTGGGGGGGGAAACAATATGCTGACTGTGAAAACTGCTCAGAGAGGCCTGTAAAACACCATGAAGCGGTATATAAGTCTTAAGTGCTATTGCTAAGTGCTATATTGAACTTAGAATGTCTAAATGCAACATCAGTAGATGTAAGTAACTCAAGGGTTAAAGGTTCATTAAATCTCTGTGGCAAAGGGAAGGCTAGCCAACGAGAAGACGTCCAACTAGGAATGCCGCGAACTGGAACATTATGTCAAGATTAATGAATATTTTAACCCCTGTGGCAAAAAAAGTCTTAAAGTTGTCAAGGTTGGGAATAGCAATAGCCCTTAGACTTATATACCGCTTCACAGTGCTTTTGTCATGGTTCCGACGGACGAGATTCTTCAAAGAACTTCGAGACATTGTTTACCTATTCGAATCTTTATTCGAGTAGCATAGCATCAGCACGTACACAGCCAAAGCCAAAATCTGAATTCCCCTCCCCTGGGCACATAGCATCAAAGCACAATTCCCTCCTCCAATTTATGGTCATAAATCACCTTTTCCAATCAGTTTGAAATGCAGGCTCTCCCTCCAGTTCCCCTGCCCGACCAATTCTTATCATCTCTTATTTCAAAAACCTTGGTTCTCACACTGGTTACGGTATTGTTATGTCTAACTAAACTCCCAGGCACGTTCCTCCTCCTCCTCCCCTCCCCTCCCAGTATCATCTAATTCTAATTCGAAGAGTAAAACATAAGAAGGAAAATGGCTGCATCTCCACATGTTGTCAAAGCAAGAACATCCGATGTTAGCAGCGTTGACAGCTTTACAGCCCTCTCTAAGCGGTTTTACAGAGTCAGCCTCTTGCAGCCCCCAACAATCCGGGTCCTCGTTTTAACGACCACGGAAGGCAGAGTTTAACCTTGAGCTGGTCAGGATCGAACACCTGGCGGTGGGCACTTCATTAGCCTGCAATTCTGCATTCTCACCACTGGGGCACCACACAGACGGAGCTACAGAGAAACGCTATTGCTATGGTATGCTGCTTCTTTGTGACCCCCCCTCCCCCATCTTGACATTTCCAGGGTTACCGTCAAAAGGATTCCTACATTGCCAGCCAAGGACCCCTCCAGCACACCATTGAGGACTTCTGGCGGATGATCTGGGAGTGGAAATCCTGCTCCATCGTGATGTTGACCGAGCTGGAGGAGAGGGGTCAGGTGAGGCACCGTGAAGGACATCTAGCGGAGCCCATGGGGTGGAGGTCTTATGGAAGAGGCACTTCCCGGATCAGGCAAAAAGCCCTCTTAACAACCCATCATTTCCTTCCTGGCAATGGCCAGCCGGACGACCTCTGAGGCTCTCGCCGAGAAGAGATGGAGATTGACTTTCTCTTTTTTTTTTTCCCACCGTGTCTCTGCACGTGGATACTGGGAGGTGTTCTTCCTCCGAACCAGGAGGCAGCGTCGATTTTTCGGGGCCTCCAGCGATTTAGTTTCGTTCCCTTTTGAAGCCACCTTACAGAGTGGCCGTCGATAAAGGAGGATATTTGTAGATCGGCGTTAAAGTGAGGTGCTCTCTGAGCTTGGTGGTTTTCTTGGGCTCACCTCATCTTCTCCTTCTCCTCATTCTCCTCCTCCTCCTCCTCCCTCTACTTCACAAACCCCACTCCCTTCTAGCACTGATGATGTTACCTACTTTGGTCATGCAGTATCTACAAAAAAACATCAAATTGAGAGAGCACCAAGGACCCTCCCCAATCATCACCACCATTCTCCTCCTCCTCTTCCTCTCTTCAAACTCCCCTCCCTTCTAGCAGTGATGAGGTTACCTAGTTTGGGTCATGAAACGTCTTCAAGAAAACCACCAAGCTCAGAGAGCACCCAGGACCCCACAGTCCTCCTCCTCCTCCTCTTCTTCTTCCTCCTCCTCCTCTTCCTCCTCTCAGCAAATCTTACTCCGTTCTAGTACTGAGGATGTTACCTAGTTGAGTCATGAAATGTCTGCAAGGAAACCACCAATCTCAGAGAGAACTAAGGACCCCATGGTCGTCGTCGTCCTCCTCCTCCTCCTCCTCCTTCACAAACCCCACTCCCTTCTAGCACTGATGATGTTACCTACTTTGATCATGAAATATCTACAAAAAAACATCAAATTGAGAGAGCACCAAGGACCCCCCAATCATCACCACCTTCCTCCTCCTCCTCCTCCTCCTCTTCCTCTCTTCAAACTCCCCTCCCTTCTAGCAGTGATGAGGTTACCTAGTTTGGGTCATGAAACGTCTGTAAGAAAACCGCCAAGCTCAGAGAGCACCAAGGGCCCCTCATAGTGGCCACCATCATGTCTTCTGGGGATGAACTGCATGGCTTCCTTTCAGATTGTTCCTTTCACAAACGAGTTCCCACACACAAACCAGCTGAGAAACATACCCGATTTCCATTTGTGAAAACCTAGGCCAGGAGTAGGCAACCTTGGTTCTTCTATGACTGGTGGACTTCAACTCCCAGAATTCCTGAGCCAGCCACGCTGAGGGGAAAGGGTGAGGTTTCCAAGCTGAGCCATGCTGGCTCAGGAATTCTGGGAGTTGAAGTCCACCAGTCATAAAGTGGCCTAGACCTAGACCAGAGGTAGGTGACCTTGGCTCTTTTATGACTTGTGGACTTCAACTCCCAGAATTCCTGAGCCAGCCATGCTGAGGGGAAAGGGTGAGGTTTCCAAGCTGAGCCATGCTGGCTTAGGAATTCTGGGAGTTGAAGTCCACGAGTCATAAAGCGGCCTAGGCCTAGGCCAGAGGTAGGCAACCTTGACTCTTTTATGATTGGTGGACTTCAACTCCCAGAATACCTGAGCCAGCCACGCTGAGGGGAAAGGGTGAGGTTTCCAAGCTGAGCCATGCTGGCTCAGGAATTCTGGGAGTTGAAGTCCACGAGTCATAAAGCGGCCTAGGCCTAGGCCAGAGGTAGGCAACCTGGGCTCTTTTATGACTGGTGGACTTCAACTCCCAGAATTCCTGAGCCAGCCATGCTGAGGGGAAAGGGAGAGGCTCCCTGGCTCAGGAATTCTGGGAGTTGAAGTCCACGAGTCATAAAAGAGCCAAGCTGTTTCCAAGCTGAGCCATGCTGGCTCAGGAATTCTGGGAGTTGAAGTCCACGAGTCATAAAAGAGCCAAGGTTGCCTACCTCTGACCTAGGAAAATCACTGTTAGGATTTAGTGCGCCCCTCCCCGCCCATAGCATTAAAAGAGAGGACATCAGAGGACCGTTCCAAATCTCATTTAGCTTTCTCACGGTCCTGTCTTTCCTGTTTCCTGACTTGCTAGGAGAAGTGTGCTCAGTACTGGCCTTCGGATGCCTCCATCTCCTACGGAGACATCACCATAGAACTGAAGAAGGAGGAAGAGTGTGAGAGCTACACGGTCCGGGATCTGATGGTGACCAATAACAGGGTACGTTTCGAGAAACCCCATCTAGATCTGCAGGGACCCACCGTTCATAACAGGTTCCTGCTTTACACAGCCTTAATACACTTGGAATCCTGCATCCAGCCAGTTCTGATCACTACAATATAAAAAAAGATGTTGAGGCTCTGGAAAGAGTGCAGAGAAGAGCAACAAAGATGATCAGGGGACTGGAGGCTAAAACATACAAGGATCGGTTGCAGGAATTGGGGATGTCTAGTTTAATGAAGAGAAGGACGAGGGGGGACAGGATAGCAGTCTTCCAGTATCTCAGGGGCTGCCCCAAAGAAGAGGGAGTCAAGCTCTTCTCCAAAGTCCCTGAAGGCCTAGAAGCAAGGAGAAATTTCCTGACAGAATAATTAACCAGTGGAATGACTTGCCACCAGAACTTGTGGCTGCTCCAACACTGGAGGCTTTTAAGAAGAGATTCGACAACATTTGTCTAGAATGGTATAGGTTCTCCTGCTTGAGCAGGGGGTTGGACTAGAAGACCTCCAAGGTCCCTTCCAGTCTGTTATTCTGTAAAGGCTCGGAAGAGGAGGATAAAGGTTTACATGATAGCAGTCTTCCAATACTTGAGCGCCTGTCACAAAGAAGAGGGAGTCAAGCTGTTCTCCAAAGCGCCTGAAGGCAGGACAAGAAGTAACAGACGGAAACTAATCAAGGAGAGAAGCAACCTAGAACTAAGGAGAAATTTCCTGACAGTGAGAATAATTAACCAGTGGAACAATCTGCCTCCAGAAGTTGTGGGTCCTCCCATCACTGGAGGCTCATGGGAAGAGATTGGACAGCCACTTGTCTGAAATGGTCTGCTTGAGCAGGGGTTGGGCTAGAGCAGGGGTCTTCAAACTTAGCCCTTTTATGACTTGTGGACTTCAACTCCCAGAATTCCTCAGCCAGCGTGCCTGGCTGAGGAATTCTGGGAGTTGAAGTCCATTCCTCCTAAAGTCTATATCGGGGTCTTCAAACTTGGCCTTTTTATGACTTGTGGACTTCAACTCCAAGAATTCCTCAGCCAGCGTGCCTGGCTGAGGAATTCTGGGAGTTGAAGTCCACTCCTCTTAAAGTCTATATCGGGTCTTCAAACTTAGCCCTTTTATGACTTGTGGACTTCAATTCCCAGAATTCCTCAGCCAGCGTGCCTGGCTGAGGAATTCTGGAAGTTGAAGTCCACTCCTCCTAAAGTCTATATCAGGGGTCTTCAAACTTGGCCCTTTCATGACTTGTGGACTTCAACTCCCAGAATTCCTCAACTGTATGCTTGTCTGTACTGAGGCCTTCACTGCTCTCACCCTTACGATGTAGCGTGCACGCTGGCTGAGGAATTCTGGGAGTTGAAGTCCAGAAGTCATCAAAGGGCCCAAGTTTGAAGAGCCCTGGAGTAGAGGACCTCCAAGGTCCCTCCCAACTGTGTTATTCTGTCTTCTGTGAGGATCACCCTTGCTTCAGCGTGCCTCCGCTTTTCCCCGCAGGAAAACAAAAGCCGGCAAATTCGACAGTTCCACTTCCACGGATGGCCGGAGGTCGGGATCCCCAGCGACGGGAAAGGCATGATCAATATCATCGCAGCCGTGCAGAAGCAACAGCAGCAGTCTGGCAATCACCCCATCACTGTGCATTGCAGGTAACGCGAGGAGGGGGGGGTCCTGAGGGCACCCCCTGTGTGATGATAGACAGATGATGATCCATGGGGGCTTTGAACAGCAGCCTAGGCCGATTCCATTGATCCAAGGACATTTTCATCTCGTTGATTTGAATCCTGCCTTCACCATTTTTACAAAATGTCTCCTGCCTAACGCTCATTTCTCCTTCTCTTTGCCACAGTAAGAACCCTGTGAGGTGAGTTGGGCTGAAAGAGAGAGGGGCCTAGTCGGTTCCCCTGCCTAAGGCAGGCAGTACTAGAACTCACCGTCTCCTGGTGGCTGGGCCAAAGTCACTCAGCCAACTTTTTATGCCTAAGGCAGGACTAGAACTCACTACGCCTGGTGATTGGCCCAAAATCACCCAGTTGAGCTTTCATGCCTAAAACAGGACTAGAACTCACTATCTCCCAGTGATTGGCCCAAAGTCACCCAATTGGCTCTCATGCCTAAGGTGGGGCTAGAATTCACCATCTCCTGGTGATTGGCCCAAAGTCACCCAGTTAGCTTTCATATCTAAGGTAGGACTAGGGCTCACTATCTCCTGGTGACTAGCCCAAAGTCACCCAGTTGGCTTTCATGCCTAAGATGGAACTAGAACTCACTATCTCCTGGTGATTAGCCAAAGTCACCCAGTTAGCTTTCATGTCTAAGGCAGGACTAGAACTCACTGTCTCCTGGTGATTGGCCCAAAGTCACCCAGTTTAGCTTTCCTGCCTAAGGCAGGACTAGAACTCACTGTCTCCTGGTGATTGGCCCAAAGTCACCCAATTGGCTTTCATGCCTAAGGCAGGACTAGAACTCACCATCTCCTGGTGATTGGCCCAAAGCCACTCTTCTGGCTTTCATTCCTAAGATGGAACTAGAACTCACTATCACCTGGTGGTTGGCCCTCACCTAGCTGGCTTTCATGCCTAAGGCAGAATTAGAACTCATTGCTTCCTGTTAGTTGACCCAAAGTCACCCAGTTGGCTTTCACGCCTAAGGCAGGACTAGAATTCAGAGTTTCCCGGTTTCTAAGCCCAGCACCTTAACCACTACACCAAGCTACCCTCCTCTTTGAAATAATGTTGCTTCACGATCTCCATGCCGCTTACGTCCTGGAGTTGGTGATAGCTTCAGAACAGGGAGTTGACCCAGACCTTCCTCATCTCAACAGAAGCTCATACTCTCTACTACCCCTTGGAAGTCCAGGGAACCTTCCTTGCTCCTCCCACGGCCAATGAGTACAGTAGTGGCCAAAATTGTGGAAACCTTTTGGGAAAAGTGTATTTCTGAGGTTTGACGGCTAATAACACCCCTTTTTTTGGAGTAGTACCATAAAATTATATATTAATGGAAAGATAATTTAATCAAGAACGTAATGTAACCAATTTTGTTCAATTATCGCTGCTGTATTCTATGAAATGTTATAGCCAAAGAACAAGAAAAAGGAAGCCCAACTTGCTTAGGTGGATCGCAGGTAGCTTTCCTTCACCTGATTGTAGCCATTGAGTGTTTAGAGAGCCAATTGGGTGTCATCTTGTTTTGGCCATGAGCCAATCGGATCACAATAGGATCCAGTGGTCGATGTCACGTATTGAAGCGGAGAGGAGGACATTTGTTAGTGTGTTATGTGATCGCTGTCAAGTCGGTTGGTTTTGTGTGTGTGTGTGTGTGTGTGTGTGTGTTCTTTCCTTTAGTGCAGTGTTTCTCAACCTTGACCATTTTAAGGCATGTGGACTTCAACTCCCAGAATTCCACAGCCAGCATTGCTGGCTGTGGAATTCTGGGAGTTGAAGTCCACATGCCTTAAAATGGTCAAGGTTGAGAAACACTGCTTTAGTGAGCTTGCAAAACGTCACAAAATTAAAGTCCTGGTGCAAAGAGTTGACTGGTCGCCCAGAAAGCGATGTAAAATAGTATTGTTAAGTGAACAAGGCTACAGTTATAAAGAAATGAGAAGAAAAATGGGTGGAAACTTAAACCAAAGGCGGCCTTTCTCCTGTACACTTTTCCCAAAGGGTTTCCACAATTTTGGCCACTACTGTAGACCTTCCAAGCTCCGCTAAGTTGGGTCTCTGGAGAAGGAAGGGTTCCATCCATCTCCTCCTTCTTCACAGTGCTGGAGCTGGGCGGACGGGGACCTTTTGCGCCTTGGGGACCGTCCTGGAACGGGTCAAGGCGGAAGGAATCTTGGATGTCTTTCAGACCGTGAAGAGTTTGAGGTTACAGAGGCCGCACATGGTGCAAACACTGGTAAGCATCAGCCACAATGGGGAAATGACGGCTTAAGTCGCCAACTTAACAACGGTTTGTTTAGTGACCCAAGTTATAACAGCACAGGATAAAGGGCGGATTTTTCACACTTAACGACCGTCGCAGCATCCCTGCGGTCACGTGATCCAAATTCAAAACGCTCGGCAACTGGCTCGTATTTATGATGGTCGCAGTGTCCCCCCTCCCCCCCCGGGGTCACGTGATCCCTTTTTGCGGCCTGCCGACAAGCATCGAGGGAAGCCAGATTCGCTTGACGACGGCGTTACTAACTTAACAACTGCGGGGATTCACTTAACAACTGTGGCAAGCAAGGACATAAAATGGGGCAAATGTCACTTTATAACTGTCTCGCTTAGCAACGGAAATTTTGGGCTCAGTTGTCATAAGTTGAGGACTACCTGTAATGGGTGAGAAATATTGATCTGCATTGGGCCAACTCAGGGGTCTTCAAACTTGGCCCTTTGATGACTCGTGGACTTTAACTCCCAGAATTCCTCAGCCAGCGTGCCTGGCTGAGGAATTCTGGGAGTTGAAGTCCACGAGTCATCAAAGGGCTGAGTTTGAAGACCCCCCTGATGCAGACTTTAAAGAGGAGTGGACTTCAATTCCCAGAATTCCTCAGCCAGCGTGCCTGGCTGAGGAATTCTGAGAGTTAAATCCACAAATCATTAAAGGGTCAAGTTTGAAGATCCCTGATATAGACTTTAGGAGGAGTGGACTTCAACTCCCAGAATTCCTCATTGCTGGCTGAGGAATTCTGGGAGTTGAAGTCCACGAGTCATAAAAGGGCCAAGTTTGAAGACCCCTGGGCTAACTGGTCTTTCTTCATAAAGTTCTTTGAGGTGCAGGAAGTCCTGGACTTAACAACCATCCCCGAGCCATGTGGCTGTTAAGTGAATCACCATGTGGCCACACCCGATTTTACAACCTTTTTGCCCCAATTTGTTAAGCAAATCACTGGGTCCTTAAATGGATCCACTCCCCCCCCCCCGTTGACTTCACTCGTCAGAAGCCAGAAGGTTGCGAGAGAAACCCGCAACCATTGCGGTTATAATACATAACAATTGCCAAACCCCCAAATCACGACCCTTGACTGGGGATGCCGCGATAGTCATAAGTGCGAGGACCGTTCTTTTTTTTTGTCAGCATCGTCGTAACTTTGAATGGTCATAAAAAGGAACCGTCACAAGTCAAGAACAGCCTGCAAATTTTCCCATAAAGAATTGCCCAGTTTGGATCCCTGGAACTAGAAAAATGCTTTAAGGCAGTGGTCCCCAACCCTCGGTGTGTAGACCGGTACCGAGCTGCAGCACAATGGCATCCGGTCCGCACAAACAAGCAAAGAGCCCCATCCGCGGGATGCAGGCAGCACACAAAACCACGCCCCCTCCGGTCCGTGGGAAAACCTCCGGTCCCTGATGCCCAAAAGGTTGGGGACCTCTACTTTAAGGCACCCACTTAAGTAGATAACTCACTATGCATGAATTTCCACAAATACTTAGGAATTCTGGGCAATTCCCAGGTTTGTGCCGAAGGTCTTTGGGGGAAACCATGGTTTGTTCTGTCACTCACCAGCCGTTCTCCTCTGTCTAATTATCCCCTAGGAACAGTACGAATTCTGCTACAAGGTGGTCCAGGAATATATCGACGCGTTTTCAGATTACGCCAACTTCAAGTGACGCTGAACCCGCCCGGAAGAAAAAAACGTTGCCTTCTTTAATACTTTGTAATATTCTGTTTGTTAATATCCCTATTGCCACCCACCCCATCCCCAAATGTGTATATAATCTTCACTGTTCTTAGAAGGGTTGGTACCATAAGGTTGCTATCGGCTTGAGATTTTATATGTAGCAAAAGTGTTAGGGGAAAAAAAAAAAGATTGTAGGCACTTTTCTTTTCCAATGTTTTATTGGGGAATTAAATAGTGTGATATTTGGATTAATATTGTCGGAGAGGGAAAAAAAAAAACCACCCTCTCTTCTGGAGAGTTTATGCAGACTGTTCTTGGGGTTTGTTTTGTTTTGTTTTGTTTTGTAAATCTTTTTTTTTTTCTTCCTCTTTAGGGAGTAAAGCTTTTTAAAAACCAAATGAGATTTCTTATTCGCAGCAGTTTCTTTGAAAAGGAAAAAAAAAGTGGCACACCAATAAAGCTTTTTTTTTTCCCTCCGTTCCCCTAGGAAACCTCTTGGAGTTTATTATTTTACAGGGTTGGATTTTTTTTTTTTTTTGTAAAGAATATTTAGCAGAGCTTTTGGTAGACGTTTGCAGCCCCTTTTCCAAACCTCTTCACCACAACTAGTTAAAAGTGTGGCAACTTCCATGCTCTTTGGAATTCAGGCTGGATGCTTCTGACTGATGTTATAAGAATAATAGGGTTTGAAAGGGACCCTTGGAGGTCATCTAGTCCAACCCCCCGCTCAGGCAGGAAACCCTACACCATTTCAGGCAGGTGGCTGTCCAGTCTCTTCTTAAAAGCCTCCAAGTGCTGGAGCATTCACAACTTCTAGTGGCAAGCTGTTCCACTGGTTAATTGTCCTCACTGTTAGGAAGTTTCTTCTTTCTAGATTGGATTTCTCTTTTTTTTTTTATGAAACAACTATATTTGGAGAGTTAAGGATCCCAGCTGGATGGAGAAAGTGCTCCTTTTTTTTTTTTTTTTGGATTATCTACAAAGATCCCTCTGAATATTTAGGGCCTGGCACATCTGGATATATCATCTTAGTCCTTTCTCTTGACTGGCAAGTTTTCCAGCTTGATCTTCTGGATGTTGAAATGCTTCAATCTAAACCAACTTTTCCTTTCCAATTTGTGCGCTTTGTACACTGGCCTCGCTGCCTCTCACGGAATCACAACTGGGGTTTGTGTTGCTCGCTTCACTTCGTTTTTCAACTTGGAAGTGGGTCATGCAACCGTACCATTTCCACCCTTCCTGCAATTTTAGGCCGATGGATCCTGGTTGACTTCCATCTTCTCATCTTTCCCTGCTTAGGCATCGTGAGCGACAAAGGCAGAGAGGAAGCGCCCCCAAATTTTACAACTTCCTAAACTTCACCGAGTTTTGATTATTTCTTTTTTTTTCCCTCTCTTATATGTGGGCTTCACAGCTCCTTGGTTTCCAGAGACGTAGCTAAAATTCTTCCTAGAGTTTCTCAGCGAGAACCCTTAAAACCTTTTGTAAACTTTGCACATCTCAACCGCCATAAACTGGTCTTTTTCCACGTGGATGGTTCCAAATATCCTGGGAGTTCCCGCTCCCCAAAGTTCTGGAATCAGTTGGGAAAAAATTGCTTTGGACCTCTTCGCTTTCTTCTCTTAGACAGTCATGGCCAGCAGTCCCCCCCCCCACCTTACACAAGTGATTCATGCTGTAAAATTGGATTTTTTTTTCATTAAAAATTAAAAAGTAAACAGAGTCCTGCTGGGTTGGAAAAACAGAGAGGAGATGGAAGGAGAACACGGGAGGGTGGAGTTTTTTGGAAACAATTTTTCCCCCAACCCTTATCTTCTTCCTGTCTCTTCATCATCATCATCATCAAGTTGGAAGGGACCTTGGAGGTCATCTAGTCCAACCCCCTGCTCAGGCAGGAAACCCTATACCATTTCAGACAAATGGCTGTCCAGTCTCTTCTTAAAAACTTCCAGTGTTGGAGCATTCACAGCTTCTGGAGGCAGGTTGTTCCCCTGGTTAATTGTTCTCACTGTCAGGAAGTTTCTCCTTAGTTCCAGGTTGCTCCTCTCCTTGATGAGTTTCCATCCGTTGCTTCTTGTCCTGCCCTCAAGCGCTTTGGAGAATAGGTTGCTCCCCTCTTAATAGAATAACAGTTGGAAGGGACCTTGGAGGTCATCTAGTCCAACCCCCTGCTCAGGCAGGAAACCCTATACCGTTTCAGACAAATGGCTGTCTAGTCTCTTCTTAAAAACTCCCAGTTTGATATTTTGGGAGAATAGCTTTCAGGGCTTACAAGCTCATATTTTTTAAAAAAAGTTCCCTGGAAATGACACAACAAAAAAAGGGGGGGGAGTCAATTAAAAATGGCATCCTAGGAATATTCATAAAACAGCTAGTCAGACGCTGCAGCATCTTGACGGAAATGTGTCAAAAGAGGTGAGGTAGAGTCCTCAAAATAGAATCTCACCAAAAATCCATCAGCCCCCCCCCCAAATGTGATGAGATAGTTTGAAATGACTTTTCTGCCCCCCCCCCCAGTTCATCAGGAATATATACCTTTTTTTGAACACTGACAGCACAGAGGCCGACTACCACGTTTGAGGTCAACAATGGAATTTCCTCCAGTAGAGAATTTTTTTTCTCTTTTTTATGGGGGATGGAGAAGTGCTAAGACAGTCCTGTTCTTTGGAGGTTCCATATCTGGAGAGAGATATCTCTGGAGCTTCTCGGTCATCCCGGTCCTGGTTGTCCCAAAGATGCTTTTTTAAGGAAGCAACTGGACTTGGTTGTTTTTCTTTGGAGACGTTTCCCTTCTCATCCCAGAAGCTTCTTCCGCTCTGGCTGGATGGTGGGGAAATGGAAGGATTGATACTCCTTGCAGACCGTTGGTCGTTTGCATTCTTTTAGAGAGTCGTTGAGGCCACTTGGAGGTTTATCTCAGTCCTCACGGTCAACTGAGTGGTGCAAATGGGTGTGGGGCCTTCTTGAAACTGCTGAAAGGAAGGAGTTCCAAGGAGTTCAACACTTCCAAGAAGGTTCCACTCAGGTGACCCTGAGGACAAACGTAAACCTCCAAGTGGCCTCAACGACTCTCTAAAAGAAGGCAAATGATCAACCGTCTGCAAGGAGTATCAATCCTTCTTCCATTTCCCCCACCCTCCAGTCAGAACTGAAGAAGCGTCTGGGATGAGAAGGGAAAGGTCTTCAAAGGAAAAACAAGAAAATCCAGTTGCCTCCTGAAAAACCATCCTTAGGATACTCTGGGTAGAGAGAAATGGAGATGGTCTTGTCCTTCTCACCGGCTACCTTAAGATCGCTTCTCTACACGGCTAGCAAGGATCTTCTGGTGCTGAAGGAACCCGCAGCCCAGCCTCGTGTCTTCTCATGACCTATGTAGAGAGGATGAGTTAGGTCTTCCATCTATAATAATAAAGTTGGAAGGGACCTTGGAGGTCATCTAGTCCAACCCCCTGCTCAGGCAGGAAACCCTATACCGTTTCGGACAAATGGCTGTCCAGTCTCTTCTTAAAAAAACTTCCAGTGTTGGAGCATTCACCTCTTCTGGAGGCAGGTTGTTCCACTAGTTAATTGTTCTGACTGTCAGGAAGTTTCTCCTTAGTTCTAGGTTGCTTCTCTCCTTGATGAGTTTCCATCCATTGCTTCTTGTCCTGCCTTCAGACGCTTTGGAGAATAGCTTGACTCCCTCTTCTTTGGGGCAGCCCCTGAGATACTGGAACACTACTGAGAGATGAAACCAGAGATCAAAACACCAAGATCCTACCATTGCACGATAACAAAGTAGGAAGCAGAGATCTCAGCCTTACGTGAAAACCAAAATATCTTCATTTCTGGAGCTTAATAAATGTGATTTGTTCCTTCTCCACGTGAGTGGTGGTGCAGGACTTAACATTCCCTAATACATACCGGAGGTGATTCTTCCCATCACTCCAACCTGGAGTTTAAAATTCCCTTTTTTTCCTCCCGTTTTCCCTTTCTGTTAGAAGCGTACTATCAGTTGCAACTCCTAGAATTTGTTCAAGTAAATTCCCGGAGGCCACCAGACAGAAACAGGACATTTCTGCCCAAAGAACCCGTTTCTCCTTTTGTTCATCCTTTCTTTCTTTTCTTTTTTTCCTTCGTGCGTTCCGTTCATTCTCCCTTCATCTACCGGAATTCCGTTCAGAATGGATCCATCTCTGCTTTTTTGAGTCCCTTCCTCTCCTTTCTCATCGTTCTCTTTTCAAGAGCAGCACATACATAACGGGGGGGGGGGGGAAGATTGCGGTCGTACCAGTTTACCCATAATTCCTTTTTTCTCCTCATACCCCCTTCAAAAAAAATGCATTCAAAGGCTCCCCCCCACCCCCCGTTTTCCGCCTCAAACACAGATTTTCTCTCTCCTAGGCGTGTTCTCAACAGATTTTTTTTTATTGTCTTAATTTTGCTGTCACCTGACACTAGCTGCATGGTAGTTCTTCAGACGTGAAGCAGATAGTAAACATTGGCAAGTCTGTGCTGCAGTGATCCAGAGTGACCAGCAGGGGCAGCAGAGAGTAAATTGATTTGAATCTCTACGGCCCTCTAGTGGCCATTTATATTTCAACCAGTCCAGTATTTCTCAACCCGGGCAATGTGAGATGAGTGGACTTCAATTCCCAGAATTCCCAAGCCGGCAGGGCCTGATCTTAACCGGATCACAAAAATAGTTAAGTATAAAAGAGATTCTCGTGGTCCATCCAATTCCAAGAGAGATATTATGCAACATGGATGGAGAGATCTTGGTATAGGGCACAGGTCTGCAACCTGCGGCTCCGGAGCCGCATGCGGCTCTTTGAGCCTTCCCCTGCGGCTCCCAGCCTCCTCTGCCTTTGCAGAGAGAGACAGAGACAGAGAGAGGAATTGTGCTTCCCTGCTTCTCTCTCTCTCTCTCTCTCTGTGTGTGTGTGTGTGTTTGTGTTTTTGTGTGTGTGTGTGTGTGTGTGTATGTAAAAGAGAGTGGACTCACAGTGTTTTCCGAGGAGCTGAAAAGCTTACTGGGCGGAGCTCCTCCCTTTGCTGCGTCTCTGCAGGAAGCAGGAAGGGCAGGAGAGAGCTAGCTAGCCCAGCTAGGCTGACTCAGGAATTCTGGGAGTTGAAGTCCGTGAGTCATAAAAGAGACGAGGTTGTCTACCCCTTATCTTGTTGGACAACAGCTTGAAGCTTGTCAGGTGAGCAGCAGATAGGAGAGGGGGGGAGAAAGAGAGAGAGAGGGAGAGAGAGAGAGAGAGAGAGAGAGAGAGAGAAGAGAGAGAGAGAAAGAGAGCGGGGGAAGAGGAGTGGCAGGCAGACCAAGGGCAGAGAGAGAGAGGGAGGGAGAGAGAGAGACAGAGAGACCCTTTTGACATCTAAAATGAAGATAACATTGCATATATCCTTTTTTTACCTGTGTGTGTATGTGTGTGTGTGTATATATATATATATATACATACATACATATACATATATACACACACACACACAAACACACACACACAAACACACACACACCTATAATAAAGGTAAAAAATATATGCAGTGTTATCTTCATTTTAGATATCAAAATGGTTTTGCGGCTCCCAGTGTTTTGTTTTTGGTGGGAAACGGGTCCAAGTGGCTCTTTAAGTGTTTTGGGTTGCCTACCCCTGGTATAGGGCATGGGTAGGCAACCTTGGCTCTTTTATGACTCGTGGACTTCAACTCCCAGAATTCCTGAGCCAAGGTTGCCTACCCCTGGTATAGGGAATCCCGCTTGTGGGCTGGTACATCTCAAATGGCACAGTCTGGGGCAGTGGTGGCGAACCTATGGCACGGGTGCCAGAGGCGGGACTCAGAGCCCTCTCTGTGGGCACGCGCGCCGTCGCCCCAGTCCTGGGCCTTCAGTTGGGTTTTATAAAACCTTTTCGCTTTAGGCCTCCGCCGCCGTGTGCAAAAAAAGAGAGGTTCAATCAATCAGTCAATTTCAACTTCTCGCGGGGGGG